TGGCAAAAATAAAAGACTCCGACCCAAGTGGCAGAAACACACAAACACAGTAAAAGACGGCGGGCCCACAGATCGTTGACCAAGAAACGAGCCAGAAAAGTGTGCCAACGTTAGATTCCCTAAGTGGAGAGCAATCTTTGGGCAGGTTTCAATATTGGTTTCGGCATTATCGGTGGCGTTATACACTGGTATATACATTTAACAAAGTATTCCTTTATTCGAAATACATATAAAAACTATAATTTAAAATAAAATGCAAGAAACTAACAAGATAAAAGAGCTATAGGAACCTCGATACTGATACTGAAAACTTGGTTTTGTGTTTTCTAATTTTAATGTGGTCTCGCCAAGTGTCCACTGGCTCCAACCGTATTCAGACTGTTCTCTTGCATAAGCGAATCTTTGGCTCAAGAGAGTTTCAAGGTTGAAAAGATACAATAAAAACGATAAACAGCGGCTCATCTTCGCATGAATCGAATGAAATGACAGTTTCAGGCAAAAGCCCATTACTATGAAGATTGTCACTGTCATTGCCATTAGAGGCGCCCATTAATATCCATATCTCGCCTATCTGTTTGGCAGGTCCGACTTGGAGTCGCTGCAGTTCCAGCTGACGTGCGAGATACCGCGGATTCGCGTCAAGGCTCAGTACCGATCCACAGGTGTGCTGATCTTGGTGAAGGCCTCCGGCGCCGGCGACTACTGGGGGGAGTACGGTGGGTATCCGGATTATCCGATATTCTCTTAATATAAACGCCATACTAATGACTTTCGATCTCGCAGAGGGCGTGAAAGCCAAGATCTACTTCAAGGCGGTGGCGAATGAGGCGGCCGATGGACGCACCTACCTGACCACCGACTCGGTCAAGATGGACTTTAACGTCAAGGAAATCCAGATGGGAGTGGATAATATAGCCAATGGCAATTCGGTCATACGTAAGTTCAAAGAACCGCAATCAATATATGTTCTATTTCATTTTCTCAACTAAATATATTTGTTACCCTCCACAGAGGCCGCTCTGAATCTATTCATCAACTCCAACTCCCAGGAGCTGCTCAAGGAAATGAAGCCAGCGCTGCGTACCAAACTCACCATTGTCATCCGCAACTTCATGGATCGCATATTCGCCAAGATCCCGTTGGACGAGTGGATCAACCTGAATTAAATATATATATATAGTTCCCTTAGCCCTAGGCCCTAATTTATTGCACAGAGTTCAAACTGAATAAACCAAGTAAAGACGATCGTAGAAGTTACTCAACTGGTTACTATATCATCGGATTACCATTAGGCAACCTGGTTCGGGGTTATCATTATATGCACGTTAGCTCTTCCGATTGTTCAGTTTAGGCCTGCTAATTCAAGGCCTTTGCCATCTATATTGTGAATGAAAAATGTGGGAAAAAGGTTTTTGAATAACCAGAGGAGGACAGGCCATCTTTCGTAATACGAAAATTACAGAATATATAACCTGAAGGTGTGCAGCAATTATCCTTACGTACTTCAAGTTCACTGAATTGCAGAAAACTGAATTGCATTCACAACCAAAACCTCTATGACTCATGGAAGTCAGTATAGTAAGTAGCCTATTGAATAATAAACGACGAATGAGCCACATCTTGCCACATCTCAACTTAGCTAATTCTTATAGGGAAATCGCCTTTGCCTGGTTCTCGAGTTGCGTGCGCCTCGAACAATTTTCCGCCATCCCCAATCAGCCGCCGCATTGAACCATGTCATAGGAAACTGGCGATCCCCACAGATTCCGAGCCGGGGAAAGCTTTTCGACAGGGGATCAACCTTATGTAATTCACGCAGATTGTCAACACACACATCTCCTCCCCTGGAAGCAAAGATGTTCGCGTGGCGTAATTGCGACAGGCACGACAGCTAGTAAAACGATCTTCCTGGCCCCAGCCCAGCCCCTTAACTATATAGCGTTGGCTATAGACACTGGCCTATCGAACAGACCCCTGAAATATCTAAAACAATAAAACCTACGATCTTATACAATTTATTTTAATTTTATTTAATACGGGATATAATAAATACAGTTATTTAACGAATATAAGTTATTCTAAAGAATCAAATTAAAGATTTATGTAGACCTTTTTTAAACTCCAAAAGGAATATAAGCTTTGGCTTCCCCAAGTTAAACTGCCTTCAAGTTTTGACTCGACTCTTATTAGTTACACATTATTTTTTCTAAGTTAACATTTTCGGTGGGTATTTTTGGGTGGCAGGGCCAGCGTTATGTGCTTCCGACTTAGAATGGCTTCTGCATTTTCCCGGCAAACTGGCAATTTCCCTCTTGACTATCTGTGTGGGTTTGTCGCCGTGGTGCATTTGTGTGGCTAAAATCGCCGTAGCCTTTATTAGTGTTATTATTAAACAGTATCTTTGCGTCTCCCGCTCTCTTTGCAACTGGGCATCTCTTTCTGACTTTCTGAGCTTACCCAGCGAATTCTGGCGGGGATTGGCGGGGCGTGCGAGTTCTACGTCGTGTGTGTCTGGCTCTCATGTAAATCGCAGCGTAAGTTTTTGCTATAAAACACGCCGGTCTCAACAACTTAGCATTCAGTACGATCCGTTGACGGTTACTAAAACAACACCCGGCCTAAACAGCTCGAGAACGTTGAGCAGCCTTCGCCAGTTTCTAAAAAGATAATAAGCCAGTGCTAAAGCAAATAAAACCGAATCGAATTTAAAACGCAGCTCAGTTGTGTAAGTTTCTACGGTGAATCCTTGAGAAGCTAAAAAAAAATTCGAATGTGAAGCAAAAGGTTGAACGGATCAACCTGTCGCTTGTTAATCCTTCGAAAATAAAATTCTAAATGCAACGAAAATATAGTGAAAGTTAGCAATAAGTTTAGAACGTGAGAAAGTGTCCTTAACTAATGGATTCTTAAATACTTAGATTACGAAACAAATTTTTTATTTTATTTTGGGATAACTTAAGGTTTTCAAAGGAAATAATGTTAGTAGATAAAAGTAAATTACAAAACACGCCATTAAACACCGAACAAAAATTCAAGCTACATAATTAAAATTATGAAAAAAAAACCTCTTGAAGATTTAAAAAAATTCCATTACCTGTACAATGTGTGTTTAACCTCTGCTGGTCATTTGTGAAAAATGTACACTATACAATCAATTACAGACCTGCTAACAAAAGAGGCAATAAATGACAGTAATTGGGCAGTCTGCGAGCTCCTCCCATCTATTAGACAACGTCGCAGCGACATTATTCCTATAATTAAGACACTGAGATGTTGATCGAAAGGGGAGGTTGATCATTTAGCATATGGGCTGCCACGTGACACTAAAATAGAATATACAACAAATTGCAGTGGTATCAAGACTAATTAACCTTTTGCCTTTGCAGAAATAACTCGAATCGAACAAAGCGAAAATGCAGTCCACACTTGTTGTAGCATCCCTGATGATTTGCTTCCTGGGTCTCAGCTCTGCGCAGCTGCGTAAGTTACAAATTTGGGCTCCTTGGCTTCAGTTTACTTACCAGATTTATCTTATCCCCAGCGGACTACATTCAGATTTGCCATCGCAATGAGCCGGAGCTTTCCAAGTGCCTGAAGAGCAGTGTCCACAACCTGCGGCCCTATTTGGCCAAAGGTATCAAGGAACTGAATGTCCCGCCACTAGAGCCCCTCTATATCGGAGAATTGAACATTCTGGATGGATCTGGTGGCCTTACGGTGAAGGCCAAGAAACTGAATATCCTGGGGGCCTCAAACTTCGAGATCACCAAGCTGCGCGCATCCACCCAAAATCGTCGCTTCGACTTCGAGCTGATTCTGCCCCATCTCCATGGGGCCGGACTCTACGAGATCAATGGCAATATCCTGGCACTGCCCATCAAGGGCCAAGGACCCTTCACCGGAAACTTTACCAACTTTGTGGCATATGTGCGAGTGCAGTACGATATTAAGAGCATCAATGATCTGGATTACTTGCACGTCAAGGAGTTCCTCCTGAAGGTTCGCACAGGCAAGGGAAACCTGAAGCTGGAGAACCTCTTCAATGGGGACAAGGTTCTGGGGGATGTGATTAATGACACGATCAACCAGAACTTCGAGACCTTCACCAACGACCTGATCGCCCCGATTGCCAGCGCTCTGCAGGCCCAATTCCTGGTCATCACGACAAAAATTCTGGAGAACTTCACCTACAATGAGCTATTCCCAGTCTAATGGGGAAAAGCCATTAAGCTAGAATTAAGCATGTGATAAACTCGAATTGTTTTAATTAGTCATAAAGTATTCAATAAACCTAAAATTTGAACTTAAAAAGGTGACATTTCAATTAAAAAAAAAACAAAAATTATCACGCAACCAAAGTCTAAAAATATAAAAACCTTAAAAACACCCAAAAACAAAAAAGAAAGCCAATTTTCTGCACGCCGAAGTTCGTATACCCTTGCAGTTTGCAATTGGATCATTAAGAATCGATCCATTCTGGTCAAATTAAAAGAAAAAATAACAGGAACTATTGTATATTGTATAGCATATAATAAGATGGTTTTGATAGAAAAACAAATGTTAATCGTATAAAATAACTTTATTTAAGATATATATTAAATATACATATATAATATGAAATATCTAATATAATAAACATTATAAATATAAAAGATAAAAAAACAAAGTGGCTAGTTCGACTCGGCTGTTGATGCTGATCAGGAATATACACAATCTATAGGATCGGAAATGTCTTCTTAACTACAGCGTTGCCAACTACCCTCTGCAAGGGTATAAAAACCAAGAGCTACGAAAGCTCTCCAGTGCATCAGTCCTAACTTCAGTTACTTTCGCATCGTTATTATCAGTGCTGGGGAAAAAGAGAACGGCAGAAGTGGGATCATAGCAATTAGGCATTAAGACTCAGCTTAAAAGCCCCTCTCCATACTCTCAATGAGCCAAACTACTTTGACAAACATACATAGATAAGAGCTTCTGTGTCAATACCCAAAAATTTTAATTTTAGTTGGATTTTGTCTTTGTCTCTTGCTCTAAGAACCGTGGATCTTGTCTCACCGTGGTTGTTATCCAGTTTTAAGTTATTAAGTTATAAGTGTTTTGAACCTTATTTTTATAATATTATTTTTATAATATAATAAATTTCTTAATTTTTGCATGTAAGTACTCCGTTTTATTTAATAACCAAATTATTTACACGCACATTTTCCCATTCATAATAATTAAAAAAATAAAAAGAAAGGAAGCTAGTTTGCACGTCGAGTTCTGTACACCCTTGCAGTTTGTAATTGTGGCATTAAGAATCGATATATTTTGTGAAAACAAAAATAAAAACCAACAGAAGATATAGAAAAATGCAAATTCCATTTTGATCAAATTCAAAATGATGTCTTTAAATCGTATAAAATAATATTTCCGGGTTAAAACTATTTGTAGGTTTGTTTGTGTAAGTGGAGGGATGCCTTGTGCCGTTCTCTGGCGCCGAACTAGAATTTAGTTAAATTATTTGTAATCTATAATTTTTTGTTTCAGCCCATATGTCTAGTCCTATTTGTACAACTTCAAGGGAAGTACGATCCTTAATGGAATCAGAAATGCATGGTCCACCGTCGCTGGACGACGGTTCAGGTATGTAAGCTTCATTGGCAAGAAATGTATCTCTATTATTGTATCCTTGACACAGTTTATATTGATGGCCTGCGGCGTTCAGGGCGTCTGAAAAGAAAACAGACGCCCATTGAACCACCGAAAAAGAAGCCAAAAAAGCCCATCGAAGAAAAGGAGCCAACTTCACCTATTCCCTGCAAAAGACCATCATTTGTCTGCAGTACTCCTTTTAAGGATAGAGAGCCATTCCCAGACAGTGATTCTTCCGACGAAGACAGCGCCGAAGGTAAGCTATATATTTTTATACGCACTCCAAGTGTATTACATGTTAATCTCAACTAATAATTACACTATAATTCTTATATTCTTTTTATTTTTAACTTGACAAATGCAACTTTTCTTGGTTGGAGAAAAAATAATGTATACACTTGGTTTTGTTATATATTACGACTCCTAGTTTTATTTATTTATTTATTTATTTATTCTATTTGCGTATTCGTTTTACCTTTGCAGATATTATTGAAGATTTACATATTTCCTCGTCTTCTACGGAAGAGGGTACTTCATATTTAGTTGCATCAAGGTCGGGATATGAAGGCCACATTTTCTCTGGTAAGAACTATAACGATATGGCTTTTGTTGTTATTTATAATTAACTTAATTTTACAGAAAGTCGTTGATCAGACTAAAAAGTTTTTCTCGCAGTGCGGAGCCCTGAGCAAATGCAATATTTCCTACGCTTTAAGAGATCCTTGGCCATATGTTACAATATTTAATTATTGTAATTTTAATTATAATTTTTGTTACACTACACTTTTTAGCTTCCTCTCCCTTTCTTGTTAAAAATTTGAATAATTATATGTTAATATTATAATTATTTGTTGTGTTAAATAAATGAGTTATTATATAATCATAAACCATTGACGAAAGGTGATTTGTTGGGTTCGATAAAGGTAAGATGCCACGCTGATAGGGCCAAGACTCAATAAAAATGTAAATAATTAATATATTTGTACCGTTGGCGAAATAAATAAATATATATAATATAATTGTGGGCAGCCGATATTCTAATCTATTAGGATTCGATCCAAATTATACCTTATAGGATCGGAAATGTCCCTTCACTGCGTTATAATAAACAAATAATACAATTTTAAATATTCCCGCCCTTCTAACGGTCACTCTTGTCATTTTTTACACAATTTTACTTACCGGTTTGTAATTTTACCCCATTGCTACATTTTACGCTTGACGATAACCGCTAAGACAAATTTCATCAGGCCACACTTTTTTAGTGATTTCAAAAACATCGATAAAATAAATTTTTTACACTTTTCTTTCCCGATTTTACACAAATTTACTTACCGATTGGGAATTCGACCCCGTTTTACTTACCGATTGGCAATTCGACCTACATTTGACACGGCTTGTAAGTAAAACTTACATTTGGCCCCTTTGAGGTGGGAAAACTTCGATGACGCCCTGGCAAACATCGATGCTAGCGATCGAAGACATCGACGACATCGATACTGGCATCGATTTGTCCCCACCTCTATTTCTTACGCTGCTTGCCCTCAATTAAAAATAAAATTGCAAAATTTAATTGTTTCTAGTTATAAAAACATCGCATCGCCCAGGCGCTTCAAATTCGCGTTCAATACAAATTGAAGGAACATTGTGAAACATGTCAACACCCGCACGCAGACGTCTTATGAGAGATTTTAAAAGGTGAGAAAACGGCAGAAAAGAAAAGGGAAAGGAAGGAGTGGATGAAAAAATAAGGAAGGAGAGATGCGAAGTACATACCGTCGTCGGATTTTGCGTGTTCGATTCGATTCGTGTTTCAAGTATCGTTTTCGTGGTACGAAAAATGTTGGAGAAAACGAAACGAGACTGGGGGCTGCTGCCCAATACATATAGGCAAACACGCAGTCATCCATATGTATATATGTATGTAAAACCGTGTGTATGTGGTGGAAAAGTTTGCGCAGCCAAAATACATGTGCCTGTGGGAGTGTGAGTGTGTGAGTTGCTTTTTGCTCTTCGCGAAAACAACAAAAACAAGAACGTCGATTCGCTTGTCTTTGACACTTGACTTTGATGTGTGCGAGGAAAACAAAAGAGGGCAAAAGAAAAGAGCGGAGGAGGAGAAGGAGGAGGGAGCGCAGAGGAAAATTCGAAAAACCAAACAAAAATGCTTCTTCCGTTTTGGTGAAATTGCGTCGCAGACAAAACATTAACAACAATAACAATAAGAGCGCGCCAGCTAATATGTTGTTTTTGCCTTCGCCTGAGTCAGAGCAGCTGCATCCTGGTCGCGCTCCCGCTCCCACTCCCTCTCCCGCTCGCACTCGCACTTAACCTTGTTGACTCACTAAGCGCAAAAGAGACAAACCACACACTCCAATTGGAATTTCGTTCGATTTTGGAATTTTCATCGTTTGGTGAAAATGTGAATTGCCAATTGGCGAATTGCACTTGGGCGAATGTGAAACCAAAATGTCAAGGCTGTTTGTGGTGGGCGAGATTTTCACCACCAATGCAACAAAAACAGTAGCACCGATATCAATGCCACCCCAAAGAACCAACAACTAAAAAAGCACAAAGAATAAAGGGTAGCTACACTGATCGGCAATTCAATTACATAAATTATCAAATCTGTGTAGTTTTGTTAAAAAGTCATAAATCGGTTTATTTGCACAATACTGCATATTATATTCGCTTCCCGCGCAGTAAATAAATAATTAAATATTTGATTATTTAAACCCAGAACCACAATTTGAACGGAAAAGAGCAAAAAGACTAGTAAAATATGATAAAATAGCAAAGAAAAAAATAAATATAAATAAATATATAAATATAAACAATTGATTATATAAGAAACAACCCGAAACCTAAAATTTGTTGAAAAAAGTTATTTCTAAATGCGGATATGTGTAGTCTCTTTTATATGGTTTTAAAATTGGTTTAAACAAAGAAAATGCGGAAAATTTGTCGCTGATTGAAAGTCTTTATGACTTACATATGTAAAATACTAAGAAAACTTATTTCAAAGAAAATATTATTGTGATAATTTATGGTTTGCACTGTGCAATGCAAATCATTCGTTTCTATGTTGTTTAATCGATGATTACTCTTGGCCCGCATATCGATTGAGGCAGATTGAAGGGCGCGGTTTAATGCCGCTAGCTTGTTGCTGTCTGTTGACCCAAATTTCCGAATGTTCCCGGGCCAGATAACGTGCAAATTGGCAGTTCCAGATTACGTTTTCTGTTCTCTTCGCCCAGGGTCTCTTTTTTTCTCTTATTCTTTAAATGCGGAAAGCTTAAAAAAACACCATGGTTAGATTAACGAGTATTATATACTAACATAAAAGCTTTTAAGTATTGAAAATAATAATGAAACCTTTTGATTTACTTTTAAAAAAAATTATCCTGTTTACCCATAATTTTGTTCTATTTATGCCACAGCTTGAATAAAGTCAATCGAGGTCTTGCTGATTTTTTAAAAACTTGTTGATGTTTTTAAACAAACCTTTTTCTTATAAACAATTTTAATATTGTTTGATAAGAAGCACACAAATCTCGAGGCAGCCAAACCTTCGTTTCAGAAATATTAATATCTTAACTTAGTTATTCGTGTTCTTAGCTAATGTTTCCAAACATTTTATATTTACAGACTTCAGGAGGATCCACCCACGGGTGTCTCGGGTGCGCCAACAGATAATAATATTATGATATGGAATGCTGTGATTTTTGGTCCACACGATACACCATTTGAGGACGGAACCTTTAAGTTAACCATAGAATTTACGGAAGAGTATCCAAACAAACCGCCAACAGTTCGATTTGTGTCGAAAGTATTTCATCCCAATGTGTATGCAGATGGTGGCATATGCTTGGACATACTGCAGAACCGCTGGAGTCCCACATACGATGTGTCAGCCATACTAACATCTATACAGGTGAGTGGTGCCACGTTTAGCTCCTCCTTTTGATTATTCTAAATCTTGTGAATTTGTATCTGCAGTCACTGCTGAGTGATCCCAATCCCAACTCACCGGCTAACTCCACCGCCGCCCAGCTGTATAAAGAGAATCGGCGCGAGTACGAGAAACGTGTGAAAGCCTGTGTGGAGCAAAGTTTCATCGATTAGCCATGCGCCCACTCTAGGAACAGCAATAACAGCAGCAGCAGCAGCATTAGAAGCAGGAGCCACAGCAGCTTGAAACATCAGCAAACTACAGCAACCGAAATATGCAATACCATAAACAAGTTTAAATTAAATAATAACAGAAATATTTATGATACATGTAATGCTATGAAATTGTAACAGCGCCAACGGCATCACAGCAACATATATACACAAGAACACTCTGAATCGCTCACACACCTGCGGCACTTCAGGGCCCAAATCCACACCACACAAAAGCAAAGGGCAGTTGTAAGTTATATATTTGTTTGGCCAAATGGCAGAGACCGTAGATAAAAAACAAAATATTAAAAAACACCCGAAAAACTTACTGATGCAGAGCCGCTTGTTATGCGGGCGCAGCCAGTAAGAAGTCTCTCATAAGCTAACAACTCAAATGTTATATTTATAATAGCAGCGGCAAAAAAATTATTAAGAATATAATAATAATAAAAAAAAATTACAAAACTCATGTCAAACAGTTGGAAAACCAAAATAGTTTCATTTTAGATGTGCGCTCTGCCTAGCATGTCTTCTGAGATAAACTAAACCAAACCAAAAACAAACACTAAGCAAAATTCATATTTGTAGTAGTTCGTGTCGTAGCGAGACGCACAGTTGATTGGCAAAATTAATTGAAGCTGCCTGAGATCCGCGTTTTAACTGAATGTCCAATGTCAATAATGATAACTACCCAAGCTCCCACACACATACACACATCCCACATACACACACACACACATGCTACCTAGATCGATTCATAAGTTTATTGGCCTCAAATTGTGAAATTAACTAGAAATTGAGAATTAAATGTTAGTTGTTAGCAATATAAACCATAAACTCCACATAGAACGCGAGGCGAATCTCCAAGTTGGGAGCGAGAGAGCAGGCAATTATATATGTATGTATGTATACCTATGTAGCACCCAGTGACCAATTTCGTTGCTAGACCCACTTCCACTTCCGCCCCCAAACTAACTGTAAGATCTGGTCCTGGTCCCAGTTTATACCCCTTATTTGGTCTGTTGCGAGGGCCCACGCAATGAAAGAAGAAAGTGCGGGGAGCTTTCCTTAGTGTATAGTCGGATGGGAACACCTCATAAACTGCCATTTGCCACGCTATGTACTCTCTAGGTTCCACCTGTGTCTTGGCTGCGGCAATTGATTTAGTTAGTTTTTAAGCGTTTACAATCGAGTCTTGACCTTGTTTTCTGTTGAATGCAAATTGCTGTTCCTTTTGCTAAGAACCCTCCACTTTTTGGCACTTTGTGTTGGACGAAATCGCGATGGTGACGATGCGATGATGATGCTCTGAGCATCATGTTAATCTTATACATATATGTACGAATAATCTACACTATATAGCAGCAGCCTATTGTTTTCTTCAACTATGAACCAATTAAAAGCAGAGCAAGAAAGTATATCCAAAAACCAATTCACAGCGGAAGTAAAGTAAAAACAGAATGATGAGGATTAAGGAACAATTCAAATTGTGTGGAATTTCAAATTACCTTACTGTAATTAACATTATTAATAAAGTATAAGATTTCAAATATCAATAAATGAAAATACCGCAAGTCGATGTTGTTTTTATTTCGTGGTTTGCACGCATCTACTTCATTTATATTTTATACACTTTCTCTAATTTGTTTCTATTAATTTAACCAGAATGGCTCAATTCTGAATGATCTAATTGCAAACTTCAAGGGTATATGGTAAAGCATCTAAAGGCAGCATCACAGATCTCCGTATTTTAAAGTTCAAGGTCTTTTTATACCCTTGCAGGGTATTATAATTTCAGTCAGAAGTTTGCAACGCAGTGAAGGAGACGTTTCCGACCCTATAAAGTACATATATTCTTGATCAGCATCAACAGGGGAATCTTTCTAGATATGTCAGGAAGAAATCGATTTTTTGGCCATTTTTGCAAAATTTTAAATTTTTTTAAAATTTTTGATTTTGATAAAAAATTTAATTTTCAAAAATGAAGTATGCAGATTTATTAACTGTAGAAAATCTTGCACAGAACAGTTTTCCGATTTAAAATTAGTGTTCTTTTGGCCGAGTTATGATATTTTTAATTAAAAAAAAAATCAAGAAGTTTTTTAATATAAAAAATCAGATTTTATAATACAAAATAATATTTTTCTAAGTCAAGGAATCATTTCCGACCCCATAAACTATATATATTATTGATCAGCATTAACATGCGAATCTTTCTAGACATGTCCGGAAGAAATCGATTTTTTGGCCATTTTTGCGAAATTTGATAAGGGGTAACATCATTAAAATGAGCAAAAATGGCCAAAAATTTTGATTTCTTAAAATTTTAAATTTGGTATGCAGTTTTTTTAAATTAATAAAAACTAACACAAAACTGCTTTCCGAATCGAAATTAATGCATTTTTGGCTTAGTTATGATATATTTTAATTGTTCCCTGCAAGGGTATACAAACTTTGGCTGGCCAAAGTTAGCTTTCTTTCTTGTTTTTTACCATGGTTGAACTAAAACCTGTTGAGTTTCATCAATTAAATATCATTCGGATTTTTAACTTCTGCAATTAAAACACATTTATACATTTTTGTGGTTAAAATTTTTTATTTATAATTTGTTAATATCTATTAAAGTTAATGACTTAAGCTTATGATTACAGAATTGCATAAGTTACGCTGATAAAATATATTTTTTGATTACACTGATCCTGTCAATATTGTTTTTTATTTGATTTTTCAAACAATTATATATCCTATACTTTTCTCCAAAATACATTTATGTAAAATTACAAAACTCGATACACTAAAACACATAAAACCAGCCATATACATACATAAACGCGAATCATTAAAATACAAAAGGAAGCTCTAATGTAATCGCAAAGGCGAACGCAAAACAAAAAAAGACGTTATTTACATTGATGCCTTAAAGGTAAAGCTGGAAAAGATACAAATAGAATACATTGAATACGTAAGGTTGCGGAAAAAGGTGGTTACACATATAAAAAATGGAAATATTTGCTTGTGGTGTATAAATTGTAAAAAATTGAATACTAAAGGCCGTAGCAGGGTGAGTCACTCCTCCAAGGAATTGCACAAGGAATTTGCGGTAGGATTATCCTCTTCTAATTGCCCAACGCAGCATGGCTGTGTATGTTCTTAAAGTCCTGCGTTTGCGTGGTGCTGCGCAACACCTCCAGCCACCTGTTAAAACAATTGATTTATAAGTCCAGCATCATTGACTAGTATAAGAGATATTCAGCCTACCTGTTATAGGTGTGTGCGCTCTCCGCCCGGAAGAAGTAAACGTGGTTCTTAAATGAAAGCTTGAACACAAACTCCTTTTGCACGGCATCTTGGTGCCCAGGTGGTCCCACCGTGTAGCCAAGGAGCGGGAGACTGGCCAGAGCGAACTCGTCTTGGTAGCTTTTGTAGAAGTATAGGCAGAATGAGGTGAACACCACCCACAGTTTCTGCCAGCCAGAACTGTTTTTGAATTTACGCAGTAGATAGCCGGACAGTTGGTGTTCGGCGGCTATCAAATGATCGCCCAATCCAACGGTGGCTCCACGATGCCAGCAGACGTGCAGGGCGGTGTTGCTGCGCGACGGCTGCGTCTTGTTCTGCTGCTGTTGCTGCAGCTGCAACTGCTGCTGCTGCGGTGTTAGCGGACCGCCTCCATTTACGCTGCTATTTAGGCTGCTGTTGTTGCCGTTGCTCAGGCCGAACAGGTCCAGGCCCTCCTCCGAGGAGCCTGAAAATGGTTAAGAAAAAAATATTTTAGAGGAGGCGATCTTTAGAGAAGTGAATTTTGGTTGAGTTGCGGCTGCGTTGGTCTGCTTACGAGGCCTTGTAAAGTGTCCTATGAGTGCCGGCTATAAAACCCACCCCAAATTCCCTTCTAAAGATGTACTTACTGCAGTTCTTGAGCGTCGTTAGCTGCAATTGCATGTTGGGCGGTCGGTTCTTAATGTCTGCCGCCGCCTTGGAGAGCTCGGCCAGCCAGAGGGTTTTCTCGGCGGTGGTGCCGGCACTAACCATAATGGCACACTGCCCGCCAAAGATGGAAAAGGTGTTGTGCTCGGCGTTTTCGGTGAGCAGGGATCGGACTGGAACATGCCCCAAGATGCGGAAACTCTGGTCCTGCGGCGACTTGGTGCCGAAGAGAAGCAGATCTGAGAAGAGGAAAAACATGCGCTGTTGCAAGCCACGCTTCGAGTGCTTCAGGAGGCATCCCTGGCGGATGAGCCTGCGGTGGGGCTGGACCAACTGCTCAAAGTTGATGTCACGCTGCAGCTCGCATAGTTCCACAAAGTTGGCCGAATCGGGCAGATTTGCCCGAATCCCCTTGGTGCTGCGGACTAGCAAGTGGTGTACCGCTTGGCAGTCGGCGTAGTCAATGTGCTCCTCCGCATAATAGTCGCACAGCCGCTCCAATAAAAGCTGGTAGTGCAGCAGGCGATTGAGGGGTTTTAGCAGGAGCTCACCCACCGGCAGATAGCATACCTTCTGCTGCTCGAAGTCCTTGTACACCTGGCGGAAGCGCTCATCCCCCTCGTACATTTCGTTCAGGCAGTGCAGTATATCTAGATGCGTCTGCACATACTCATCGTAGATGGGAAGAGCTGCCATGTGCTTCATCATAACGTCACCGATGCGGTGGGCTTCATGACCCCCACGGCCCTCCCATTGGACCAGGCGGTGCTCGATATCACGCAGAAAGAGATTGTGGTGCTGGGCCAACGAGTCCAGGAGCTCGAACAGCGGCTGCAGCTGTTCCACATCGTCCAGGCTCAGTACCTGGCGGAAGGTCGTATTCAACACATCCAGATCCTTCTTGTACGTTCGCTCTGTCATCAGCAGCTCCTTGGCCAAGAAGTAGCTCGGCTCGGTTGGCCATCTTCGCTTCTTAACCTCGGCCTCTATGTCATGCTGCGTGGTCAGAGCATGGGAATGACCAGACGCCACTCCGTTACCATTGTGACCGTTCTGATGCGAAGCGGTGGCCACGCCAGTGGCCAGTTCTTGGCGCTTGGCATGCTGAATCTCCGCCTGAATCACGTCATATGTTCCAGCCTCGGATCGGGAGAGGGACGACGATTTGTCCGATCCCAGAGTGAGGTCATAACGAGTGGGGGGAGTGGTTATCTCACCGCGCCGGTCTAGGGACATATTGCCATTGATGCCATGGTAGACATCTGAAAAAGGCAGAAAAAATGAAGGGAAATCAAAATAATTAAATAAAACAAATTAAATAGAGAAATATTAAATAAATTAAAGCACTTTAGTTGAATAAAATAAATATTTCTGGTTACATATTAGATAAACTTAATGAAAAGCTAATCAACTTAAACTAATTAAAATTAAATTAAGCTTACATTGTAGCTAATAAAATGATTAAAATAATTAAATTAACAATTTTACTAAAAATCTTTTGGCTGCCAATTTAAATAACCTGGTATTTTCAAATAAAAGTCATCGGCTTTCTTTATATTTGATTAATGAAGTTTTATTTATTTAGATTCGTTTCTATATAATTATAATTTAATGCTTGTTAAATCGATTGCTCGTGTACATATCATTCGTTATAAGACTCCCATTCCACCTCATTGATTCTGTTCCTTTTTTCTTTCTGTGTTCTTAATTTTGTGTGTTTTATGTTCAATTTATATTCTGTGATACAAAGCAAACTTTTGTTTCTCTAATTTCTTAAAATTCAGCTAGTATCTTGTGTGTTTCGTGTCTTTCTCTAGGTAAATACAATTTTAGTTTGAAATGAACTATAGGTTTGCACTCGAAGGAATTGTCCAATCAAAATAATTTAACCTACATAAATATACATTTCCGCTTTGGCAACCTAAAACTTGTTTTAAAATGTCTGTCGGAATTATACATAATTCCCACATTAAAATCGTTTGCTCCCTAACTAAAACCAGGTTCGACTTACTCCGAATATAAAAGGAGAAGCAAGAAGCAAGCCTTGTTCGCAACAACCAATTCTCAATTACACTATTAGCTAAACACAAATAGATATTTTGATTTGAATATTTTTGATCTGGATTAAATTAGTGAAATTTTTGTACGCTTTACGATCCTTATTTTGCCGTACCCCAAGCTCCTGCGACCCATCTTCCCTAACAACACTTAAATATCTCTTTTCCACGTATTGTAAACTTAAAGATCAAACATACATCAATCTATTCCATACAATTCTAGGTTCCCAATGGGGTTTTAAACTTAACAGGGTAATTATTAATTCCTTTTGCAAACGCCTCTTCTTACAATTTCATATATATAGATAATACTCTTGGCATAGGGCTTTCCATTACCGGATCTCGGATTTGGCACATTTATGTACTAGAACTAATGACTAACACTTGTTTGCGCTTGTGAGAATCGTAAGTTATAGTTAGTTTGCTAACTTGCACATATAAATTAAAATCTTACGGAGCTCAAGAACTGTATAAAATATACATGACTAGAAAACACCGCCATTGAGTAAATGCTTTTATTATACTGTGATAATGCCGAGTTCTGGTGGAGGAATACACATGCGGGGGTAAAATGGAACTAGAGGATCGTTCGTAAGGAACTCCCAATGATTTCTGGATAACTATTCAATCCCTACCCAATGGTCCTCCTTAGGTTAGTGCTTGAAAGCATTTTGGCTGATTTGTCAATTATTACCAGATTACTGAGATTACTAGACTTAGAGGGTCGATTTCGTACTTAAGTCTACGTAGGCATGCCTGGCTTTGACACTTGGATTGGAACTCAGCTGGATAGGATTAATAGACCTGCGCAACCAATACTGACACTGAACGTAATTGCGCGCAGAGTGCTTGGCAACTTGAATGAGTTGTATAATGTAATATAATTCATTTAATAACTGTTTTCTTAACTATCGTGTGTCGATTCGTGTTGTATTAGCTAAATAACAATTAAACAGTTTTATTCTTGTATCTGGTATTCCATTATTCGATGATTAAACAGTGCATTAAAATTTGTTCAACTCTTTTAACGTTTCCGCTCAATATATCCCATATATATATTTAAATGTTGAATTGATCTATAACATTGTCATATACGTAGATACCGCTTATAGGCAACACAATCTACACCGACCTACCACCACGTCGATTATTTATGGTATTTTTCTTATTTGATTTGTTATGTTTGGTAATGTTTGATTAAAATGTTTTATTTGAATTTGATTTGATTTTCGAACGCTTCAAGGAGAGAGTTATAATTGTCTAAATTGTCATTAGTTATGCAGCTTCTAAGATTCTTGGGTTTTATACTTTTGGTTTTTTGCTTGTCGTAAATCAGTCTCAATTACAAATAAGTTATAAGGTTATAAGTACTTGGATCGCGTGTAAAAATGGTAGAATTGTTCTAAAAACGTTTCCAAGGCAACGGAACAAATCAAAAGGCTGCATTCGATAAGCACATGCAAGGGGGTTTCCATTCATTTTCCCTAATAGTCCCCACTGGTCTACTGGTCACTTAATTCATCCGAATCGTGAAACTTGGGTGGCGGATCGACACGAATATCTAATCCGCAGGCATACCGCTCATACTCAATGGGTTCGGTTTCGTAGTCGGAGAGAAAGTCTGGATAGGGTAGCTCTTTCCGCACTTGGGCTCCTGCTGCTGGCTCTGGATCCTGCCCTGCTCCTCTGGGCACTACTCCCCTTCGTATAGTTCCAGACCCGGCTGCACCCGCTCCTCCGCCACCGAATCCACTGCAGCTATCCTCACTAGAGTTTGCCAGTTCATCGGACAGACCACCGCCGCGGGTCTCGTATTCGCTCTCCTCCGGATTGCAATAGCTTCGTCCGTGGTACGGCTGAACCGTTGGCGCTGCTGATGAACACCCTAAAGTGCCCGCCGCCATGGAATCTTCTCGTTTGAGTTGCCTTTTTTTGGTGCGTGCTGGCTTCACCGGCTGGCCCGTGGCCGGAGGCATGGGATGATTAGCAGCAGCTGGAACCTGCACCGCACTAGGACGCTCCGTTACTACAGATTGATGGTACATGGGCTTGGTGATGTGACCCAAGCGGTCGTATCGCGGAAATCCCATCTCGTCTACATTGTCGCTCATATCCAAACTTTCGAACTTTCCCCCATACTGAGGATAGTCATCGTACTCGTCGGTTTGTTCATGTTCCCTCTCCAGCTCCTCGTCGAACTCAAGGTACTGATCGTCCCGCTGGCAGGACGAGTACTCGGAACTCCCCGAATCCACCTCCGGTAGATATCCCTCTGAGCACTCTGAGCTTTCCGCTTGTTCTAAAAGAGCAGCAGCTGTCATGTTAGCCCTCATCCTCTTGGCGGGCAACTGACGCTTCTTGCGATAGCCCCTACTCCTCATCTTAGCCTCCTGACCACGGACATCCAGTGAGCTATCGGTATCATTGCCGCTGGGCGGGCTCTTCAACGAGGTGGCCATGGCTCCGGCACTCAGTTGGCTAGCCGTTTTCCTTGGCGGCTTCTGCACCAACTGATTGGGTGGCGACTCGGAACTTAGGCTGCTTGAGTAGTAAGGTGAACACCGAATCAACTTATCCGCCCGCTGCGGCATTTGTGGGGAATTCGGTCCCGTACTCTCGCTGTTCAGCGTGTTGGTAGTGGTGGTCGTGTTGGTGGCCGAGGACGTGGAGTGGGCATCTCGCTCCTCGTCAATCCGCATGGGCAGCTCCTGTGATGATTGCTGTGACTTGCTGAGCATGTGTTCGTGGAAGGAGCTCGACTGACGGAGCTGCTTGCTGGTGGTCTTAAACTCGCGGATCTGGGTCTTGGACATGGTCCTGTCATCATAACTGTGGTGCTTAGCGAGCGGCTTGGGTGGTGGAGCGACAACATCGCCGGGCAAATCGCTTGGCGTCACAATTGGCGGGACAGTGGGCACAGGTGGTGGAGGAGGTTTCGCAACTGCTACTGGTGGAGGCGCTTTCTTGGCCTTTGCATCCTCTTCAGCTTCGGCAGCTGCAGCCGCTTGTTCGGCCAGTCCAGGTTGCTTCATCTTGTTGAGCAAGGCCTGCATGATGGGTCGCGTAACCGCTGGCTTTGGGGCTGTGGGCGGTTGTGGTGCTCTTGGCTTCTGGCGCACCAGCTGCGGCTGCTGGGTTTGTATCTGACTGGAGGTGGGCGGCGGGACCTGCATTGATGGAGCCCCTCCATGGAGCGGTACAAACTCTTGACTCTGGTAGCGCTCAGTCAGCTTCTCGGTGTGCGCATACAAACGCTCGACGAACGGCGACTCCGACTCTGAGCAAATCTCCTGGCTTTGGTACAGCTTGGACATCATTTCCAAAGAACGACGCTTGCGCGCAGCTGCACTGGTCTCTGGACCCATTGGGGTATCCATGGGCTCTTGGCCGTTTCTTGCCTGATTGCCGTTGCTGCCGCTTCTACGATGGACCTGTGGCAGGGAGCAGCGCTTCTCCTCGCTGGGAGAGCTCAGACTAGCTTTGCTTCCCACACGTGTCTGCTTTAGAGGATGATACTCGCCGGGGGTAACACCGACCAGGGTGCGACTGCTGGAAGTGGACCACTCGCTAATCGTATGAGCCATTTCGGTGAGGGTTAAAGTAGTGTCATCGCTTCGAGTGGCCGAGGTGGGTTCACTTAGCTTGTCTGTTTCCGAGTTGGATAGAATGTCATAACGTAGCCCATCTGAGGAACCATTGTCTCCACTAAATTTGTGGGAGAAGCTACTTCCCCCGCTTTGCTCGTTCAAGCTCTCCGCCGATTTATTGATCGAACTTATGCTCGATTTCGTTTGATTGGACTTCTCGCTTTTGGCACAGGAATGAGTAGACACGGCGGAAAGGCTGTCTGATCCGGACAGATTTGCATATTGGCGAACGGTGTTGGTACCTGTTGACCATTCCGAAATGCTAAGCCCTATGGAGGTGTCTTCAGAGTGGGAGCTATGAGTGCACTTCTTTTGCTGCAGTCCACCCATCCTTACTGTGCCGTCAAGATCAGTGCCAAGGGAACTGGTTTCCTCCTCGGAGTGACTGGAGTGACTGCACTTTTTGCAGCTTGCTCCGCCGCCTCCGCTACTTAAACGCGCCTCGTAATTCCTCCGGACGGTTGTTTGATCCTCCAAATATGTGGTGCTGCCCGACAAGATATCATCAATGGAAGTGTCCGAGTTGTTGGAGCCCCTCGATAGCTTTCTTAGCTGCGCATCCGGGGACAGTTGTACTTTAATAGTGCCTGGCATAAAGACGTCATCGCTGGAGAACAGTTCATCCTCTGATAGGGGACTTCTAGGAGCTGGCGATCTTGTGGGCTGGGCAACAATAACTTCCGAGCTCGAGTTCTTCCGCTGAACCCTAGCGGTGGCCTGTGTGGATGAGGTGGTGCAGCTCACGTTGAGAGATGATGAGAGACAGGAGGCCGCACTCAAGGTGGAACTAAGGCAGCTAACTGTATCCGGCTGCAGTTGCTCGCTGCCAAAGTCATTGTCATCGAATGCCGCCGACATGAGATAGGCGGTGTCCTCGTAAGGCAGTACTTTGGCAACTTCCGGCGGCCCAACTGAAGTTTCCTCGTCTAAAACCACCTTATCAGCACTTTGGGCTTCATTTGCATAGTAGGTCTCAATACTCTCCACAATGATGGGAGCTCCGACAGCACTGGAAGGCGGCGATGGCCAATCTATCGAGTCCTGCGACTGCTGAAAGGACAAGCTTGCCTTCCAACAGAAGGACTTGGGCACAGGCTTGTCTAAATCCGGCATACCGTACATCGAGTCGGCTGGCTTCACTGGTACATGATCGAAGGGAATTTCTGGGAGTGGCCAGTCCTCCGAGTCCTGGCTTCCCGCATTCGACAGACACATAAGGGTGTGCCGATCCACATCGTCCGCCTGAAGTTCATCGACATGGGTCACCGAGAAGCGTCCTGTGACTAAGGTTGGTGATTTCGGTTCGTTTAGACTCCCCAAGCTAGAAAGACGATCGCCGGTGGCCGAGTCACATGGAATCTCCGGCATTTCGGCCGAGGTGCGCCGATCTGCATCGGAAATATAGGCCAAGTTAGTATTGCTTCGGGAATCAGAACTGAGGCTGGGCTGGTGGTCAGTGGAGCCCACAGATTCGTCGCGCATGCTAACCGAATGCGTGGAGGCCTTGCTCACATCGTCCTCCATGCTGGACTTTTCGGAGGCAGTGCTGCGCTCCGAGATTCTTGAGAGGGTTCGGCCTAAGGTGAAGCCAGTGGTGTAGCCAATAATGTCCGTGGGATTCACTCCGATCCCGCCAAGACTACTAGTCATTGCTGGGTAACCGAAAGTAGCTGGGAAATCATTAAGCTCATCTTGGTAGCTGGCATCGCTGGCGTCCTTTTGCTCATCTGGGGAGACCTCCTTTACATCGCTGTCAGAGGAGTCGCGCAGAGGATTCTGGGCATCGTACCTTTCGTACCCACCATCCGTTTCTACATGGTGCCATGGGTCATCTGTGCTGGAGCTGTTGGAACTTTCGATGGGAAACGGACGCCAGGTGCTTTGCTGCTCCTTCTGGGCCAGATCACCTGGGCCACGCCTCTGAGCCGCTCCCAATGAGCCAGAGCTACTTTCCGTCTCGAAGGAACCTCGCGATTCGACGCTCAGAGATCCCTTGGAGTCGAAACTAGACTTTGACTCCTGTGAGCTGCGATCACTGCCAGATTTGCCCGGCTCCGCTCGAGTTACCGACAGTTTCTTTCCTGTATTGGCCCTTGCTGGTTTCTCAATCCTCGGGGGTTTTCGAGACCCACCCGAGCTGGACTCGCTATCCTCGGTCCGCGCTCCGCCCCGATCTAAGATCTTAGCAATGCGTTCCTCGATCGGATCCAGATATGATTCAGTGCTGGTTCCAAGGTCAATTGGGCTCTGCTTCTCGAGGGTCGGTGTGCTGGGCTTTTTTCCCATTAAAACTTTTGGCTCATTAGTTGGCGTCTGTTCATTGGATCCCGTGGGTGTGATGTCATCTTTGCTTACGTCCAATTGCAGCATCCGCTGCTTCAGTTCCTGACACTTTCTAGCCTCCTCATTGCCAAAGTCCTGAGAAATTCCCAAGGGCCTGGCAATAGAGCAGCTCACGCTGGACTCCTCCTCCATTGAGCTCTTCTCCTTGCCCACGGAGAGGCTCCAGTCTTGTTGTCTTTGCGGGCTTGTATCCTTTTCTCCGCTGGTCCACGAATCGGAGCTCTTGGAACGATCACTTTGCTTGTCAAGACTATGTTTTTTCTTGCTGCTGTCCGAGGATCCGGTGTACTTTTCGAAGGTTTCCAGCACAGATTTCTCAATTTGCGGACTCGCGTTGGGTGGTGTCACCAATATATTCAGTTCAGAGGTAGGAGTGGCACAGTTAGAGTACTCTAGTGGATTGGCATCCTCTAAAGTGGCCTGCGTCTCCAGGACATTACGATCTGGCTCCAGAGTACGCGGTTCATTATCGGAGGTATCCGAACCAATGAACTCGTCACATTCCACGGTAATCCAGGAGCCCGTTTCATCGCTGCGGCTGCGATCCAGGCTTAATCGATTTGTATCTGGCCTTCCAACCCTTAGATGTCGCCTCTCCAATGAATTGTCGTCCTCCTCGATAGATGGCTCCTCACACTCGATGGTCGGCACCCTATGTGGATAGCCCTCGGCTCCAGCTCCAGTTCCTGGGATAGGAGACTTGCTGGCCGGCGAATGACTATCGTCGGCAGAGACAAAAGAATCGAGACTTTCGGCAGTGGACGGCTTTCGGCTAAATGCACCTTCACTGTCCCTGGCATCTTCAGAGGGTAAAGAACGCTTGAGAATCTCCAGGGAGCGACGCTCCGAGATCACCGCCTGCATGTCGATATCCTCCTGGAGAGGCTAAAAAGAAGTGCAAATAAATACCACAGAAAATCAATAAATTGAATAAAGTTTTATATGTTTTTGGGGCTTACCTCTGGGACCTGATATTGGTGGGCAAACATACGGCGATCACCAATAGCACTTCTGGCCACTGGTGCTGGCTTATCCTCACTCTTTTTAGCAGCCTCTGACGCTTGCCTTTTATCATCGAGGCTCCGTGCCTTGACATCTGGACCGAGATAGTGATGTTCGGCTGGCCTCTCCAGACTACTTGACTTTCCATCGATTTTCTTGTGGACGACGCTTCCCTCGATCTTCTGCTTCATCTCCTGTGCCTTGGCGATCTTCTTTGGTGATTTAATGAGCATATCCTCTGGAACGTCCGACTTCTCGGAGTCCTCAAAGGATTTATTGCGATCTTCGAAGCTGCGGTTCGCTTTGTCCAATTTATCAGGGCTGCGACCTTCGTCAAAGCTACGGCTAAATTTCACTAATGAATTGTCCAGCTTTCTTGGACTTTTAGCAATTAGCACATGATCCTCGGCCTTTGATTTAAACTCTGTTTCAATGATTATCTTGTCGCCGTCGGTTTTTACTAGTATTTTGTCCTCGGGAGCAGGGAAAGCTGGCATTGTGTCCTTTACAGGACTCAACATGGTGATGGTCTGCTTCATTGCAGATTCGTACAGCTTCTGTTGGCGTTCCTTGCGCTTGGCAATATCTGCCTCTGTCTCTTCTTGGGATTTACTCTTGTCCTTGCTTAAGCGGCGCATTTCAATAGACCTGGGACGTTCCTTTGGACTCGACTTTTTGCTGCCGCGTCCATCCCGGGCTTTTATATCATCAGCGCTGGTGCGTCGCGACTCCGGACGACTCCTGGACAGGGATTTTCCCTTGTAAGGCTCCGATGTTTTAAGTTTTCCTTTACCCGTGCTCTCAATGCTGCTGGCTCTTGAGACACCCGGAGAAGTTTTACGGGAACTGTTGGCTGAGCTATATGGGGACCAATCGGTGAACCGATACTTTGGTATGTTGAGAATGAGATGATCACCACTTCTTAGCTTCATCTTTGACTTTTTCTTGTCCTTGATCTTGACACCCTGCAGGGCGATCTTCTCAATGTAACGCAATTGGTTAAGCAGCTGTGCCTCTTCGCTATCGATAGTTATCGCACTTAGCAGTGAATCCTTTCCATTGGTTTGATAACTGCTCTGAGTGGGAATAGAGCCTGCGCAGGAGTGAATGCTATCGGCCGTATCATCATCCTGAGCAGCAGCTTGATTGGCCCGCTCCAGTGATTTTTCCTCAAGAATCTCGGCTTCTTCCTCGAAGCCGACGGTGTCGTCCTTGGAGGAGAAAGCGTTCATGGGTGGCAATCGGTGCAGCGATATTACTGGGGTGTCCAGGCTTTTGGTTCGTCTCTCTGTGGTTGGCGACTGTTGCTGAGTTGCCTTCTGCCGCTGCAATGACACTGAGCCTTCAGAGAGATTAAGACGGGCATGAGCGAATAGAATCGGAGCATGTCCCTTTGAACGCATTACTATTGAAGAGTCGATGATCTCCTCAATCAGCTTCACCTTTGACTTGGCACCGCTGGCGGTCTGCTTTTTCAGAGTATAATCAATATCAGAGCCAGTAATTCTCTCTTCATGACAAGTCTCGTAAATATCATCGTTGCTACGGAAGAACTCGGCGTGCTCTAAAATCGGCGAGGGTATGTTCTCATTTCGCTGATAGTCATTCGTACACTCGTCCATGCGTCCACGCATGGGCACATGTGGTTCATCCTCCGACGAGGGTATCGAAATGGATCGCTCTGAGATTCGTCTTAGTTCAGTGGCATTTGCATACTGTGGGTCCAACTTTTGGGTATGATAGCGACTTTCCAGATCCGCCAGACGTCTGCATTGAGGGGGAGATCCCTCAATCTCTGTAGAGCTCATTGTTTGACCACGACCCCAGGCAGCTGAGATGAGGCGACTCTGCTCAATCCTAAGGATCGACTCGATCTCCTTGCGAGACTGCGGTGGTGAGAACTCGAGACGATCAGGTATAGCCTCTGCTGAACCAAATACGTCGTCTGAGTCGAGGCTCTCGTCATCAGAAGAGAATGAGGTGATCCTGGTTTTGCCCTTCTTTGATTTTCCAGCAGACTTAGTTTTGGGAATAACTCGCGGCTTATTGGCTTTTCGGGCATTGGCCTGCAGCTCTTTGCGAAGACTCTGGATAAGCTCCATCTGCTTCTGCTCCAGCTTCTGCTGCTGCATGCTCTCCGTCCGCGAACTAGTGGCCGAATCGCTCTCTATTTGGCTGAGTTTTTTGTTTAGCTTTTCCAGAGTTGAGGCATCCATCTGTTTGGTAATGTCCCGCTTCGGCGAGGAAAGCTGAATTGTAGGTATGGTCTTGTCGATTTCAAGTGTTATAGGGTCCACTTTGGAGAGGTCAATGTTTTGGGTGAAAAGGAACTCCTTCGTCTCCACAGGCAAAAGGCTATCAAGAATGTCAGGAAGAAAGTCGGCAGCCCCAACTCCAGGCAGTCCTCCACTAGCTTTTGGCGACTTTGGCGATTTGGGAGATTTCGGTGATTTTGGTGACTTTGGAGACTTTGGTGACTTTGGTTTAGTATGCTTTTTCTCACTGGGCGAGGGTGCTGTACCGTTCATTATGTGGCGTTTATGAAGGACGTATGGAATGTCCTCCTTTAGGACTTTTGTGAACCGCCTTTCGTAATCCCTAAAGAAGCTCTTTGGAAGTTCAAAGCCAGTCTTTGGCAACTCTTGAGCGGCTTGCGGAGCAGGAGTTCCGTCGTAGCATTTCGGAATCTCAAAGTTACCATGTGCCTTACAAAGTGGCGGAGCACTTGGTATTTGCTTGTAGATGTAGTCCTCGTCACTGGAGTTCGAGTCAGCGGGGGTTAGATCAATGGACTTCTGGTGCATAAGGACATGACGCCGAGAATTACTGCCCAAACGAGAGCGATTAGCCAGGGAATTGGGATCGCTCTTAGTGCGCTCCACCGTAGCATGAGAAGTGTAATTCATAGGCACCATTATTGGATTGTACTCCTCAAAGTGTGTCTTGGCCATTAGTTCTTCTTTTCGTGTAATTTTCTGATGAGCCATTAGCCGTGCCTGTTGCTTTTCAAACTCGGACACAAGCTCTGGAGTTAGTGGATACTCAGGACTCTGCTTACTCTTCTCGTCCTTGGGCTGTTGGCCCTCCCATTGCTTTGTGTACTTTTGGATGCACTCTATGCGATCTTGGTCGAAACTGAAAATATTTTCGCTGTCCGACCGTCGACGGAAGGCCGAAATCTTGCAGGACTGGGAATTACCCCGTTTCATGGGAGCCATCTGGTCTAGGGAGTCTCCGGTTTGGATATCCTTCTCCCGACATCGTTTTCCGGAAGCTGGTGTCGAAACGGACTCGGGCGACTTACTGCCGAAGGACTTGGCATTCCGCTCGATCTCCACATTTTGCAAACTAATCGAATGCACCTTCGAGGTCTTGTGGTTCTTGTTACTGGGGAACGTGGAGTATGTGTCCCGACTGTCGTAGAATGAACTATTTGCAGTGGAGCTATGAGTGTCCGAAAGCAAGCAATCGTGGCTCTTTACCTTCGGCCGGGAGTACAGGCCCTCTGGGGGTGGCTCAACGCCTGTCTCGACTGCATCGTAATAATCGCTCTTTGAATCTTGACTGGATTGGGCAAATTTTTCGTAGAGCTCCTTTTTGGTAAACTGTTTGACCTTCTTGCCGGTGGTTGTAGGCATCTCGTAGTTGCGTCCGAAGCAATCACCGACAAGCGACTCTTTTGAGTCCTGACTAGAGGCCACCGATGTCTTGCTCTTGGTTGTCTCTCTCGATTTCTTGCTGTCCGTGTGGTACAGACTGTCGCGTGACTTTTTGCTAGAGTCGGAGCTGCGCGAGATCTTTGTTTCGAAGAGCTCACTTTGGCTTTCTTGGCTTGAGGTGCGTGTTAGGGCCTCCTGAATCTTCTTGTAAAAGTTGCCGTCCGACTTGACCGACAGTTTCTCGCGTGGCAAATACCGCGGATCCTCTGCGTCCCAGATTTCGTTCATGATGTCTGCCGCCGACTTCGACTTGACGTCGATGGCCGATCGATACTTCTGCTGATGACCCTCCGACACTGACTCGTCATCGCTGGGTATGTAGTTGCCCGAGTCTAGCGAGCAGGAGCGTAGGTGATCCTCGGAGCGACCTCGTCCCCCAAAGAAGTCAATGTCATACTTCTCCAGGAGTTCGTAGCTGTCCTGCGAGATGTCATCTTGTGAACCCGAGTAGTCCAGGTGCTGGCCATGATGACGCCTGTGCTCTTGGGTGTTGTACGTGCTCCCTGGGTAACTGGATGAGTACACCTTGCTTTGCGGCAATGGGGAGAAATCCTGGTTGGCATCGATCGAGTGGTTCTTTGTCACATACAACGAATGGCGTGAATCATCGTAACGAGTTACCGGAGAATCGATACGGTTGGAGGATAAAAATTCCTTGTCAAAGGCCGTCATCGGTTTAGGTAGCTCCCGATCGTAGTAAGTGCTGCTGTACCGCTCGAATAGGTCTTTGCAAGAGCTGCTCTTTAGCCAGGATTCCCGTTCAACCTGGTCGTAGATATTCTCACCGTCTTCTTCCTCGTCCTCCTCCTCATCATCCATGTAGTGAGCTGCTGCTTGTTCGGGTTTCACAAACTGAGTCGTAGAATAGAGATTGCCCGAGGTGGCCATCTGGTACTCAAGTTTTTCCGTAGATGAAGATAGGCGCGTGGGCGGTAGATTACCCACCGAATGGTGCGTAATGTAATGGCTGTCGTATGAGTCCACTGAATCCACTCCAGATAGTTCCGAGTTGCGGGGAAGTGAATGGGTGTGTCGGGAACTCTGTGAGTCCATCGACGGCGTCAGGTAATTCTCCGATTGAGCCAGCTTTGTTCGCTCTCCTTGGCCATACCGCTTAGTCCCGAAGCCAGTGCCAAAGTACGAAGAAGACGAGGACTCTGAGGGGTGATTGAGATCGTTATGATACTGATAGTTTCCGCTGTTGTAGGCCCGTTCCTGGACAGCAGCTGCATAGGCTGACGTACTGGGCTGCTGCAAGAGAGCAGGCACATGGCCAAGTCCCATTTGCTTAGCTCTCGTATACTGAAGTATGGACTGGTCGATGAACTCATCGCTGAAGTGCTTCTCGCGGGTTTTTGACTTGGCCTTGCGATTAACCGTGGCATATATGTCGTTTCTGTCATTGAGATTTAAATGTTCGCTATTGGATATCTTGTGCTCCTGGTGGGCAGCGCTGTGAAAGTCCGGGTACTTGTAGTGGCCCATGTCGTTGATGTCGGTGTAGATTATGTTGTCCGTTTCCGTTTCGGTCGAGTTGGCATTGGCGTTATTTAGCATGCACTGCTTAGACATCGAATAACTGGTACTGCTATAATGGACTGGGGTGACAGTTTGCGACTGGGACTCCTGTGACCGAAGCTGCGGACGATGGGCATTGGCCAAGGCCGAGGCCGAGACCGATGCTGCCGCCGCTGAGGCTGCCCCCATAGTCTCCCGATTGATGGTAGATGCCGTCAAGTCCGAATCCGCTTCCTCCTCGACTAATTCCTCCTCCTCCTCCTCCCCCATAGCCTCCCCCTCCTCCTCCGTGTCCGCAGGTCCCGGCTCCTCCGCCTCCGCCTCCTCCTCCAACTCCATGGAGCTGTTGAGATCCACCGAACGAACCACTGTGCTGGTGTTGTGCATAGTGTTGTTGTTGTTGGTGCTGCTGCTGTGCGTGTTGATGCTGATGAGCTGCGGCGACGCAGGGACATACGCTTGGGATCCCACTGAGACTCGACGAGGGGTGCTGTTGCTGTACAAGTGGGACAAGTGGCTCAGACCTGAACGCGCACCGGATATAAATAATTCGAATTTAAGCAATTATCAGCCGGTGCATTATTTGATTATTATTGAAACACAAACGCAAAGGAAACCGAAATCATATCGAACGTAACTGATCAAGATCATCAAAACAAACACACCAAGTACTGAAAATTAAAATATTAGGTTAGGAAATTCCCAATTTTTACTGGGTTTACGCTGTAGGGATTGAAATAAATCTAATCCTAATTAATGAGATAATTTCGTTATTTATAAAAAAAAACCATATAAACTATTAAGTCTAGGTTAAACTTAATCACATAAGATATAATAAACGTAAATTAGAAGAAGGTTTATGTATAATTATTAATAGATATTAAAAATTATGTAAACGGTAATATATTTTAATATATTAAATAAGAAAGGAAGGTAACTGCACTTTTCAATTTGACAAACTGTTCCAAGAAAGTCAAAATTTGAATAATTTCAATGAAATTAAAGTATAACCAGACAAGACTATAAACAGACATTCAATAAAAAGATTATATTTATATATTAAATTATTACTAAAAATATCTTAATTGTACAAAAATTATATTAAGCATCTTGATGAAATTGGTAACATAATAGTTAAAAAACATAATGGAAGACTCACCTAAATTGTGATCGCCTGGATGCACACGAGCCTGATCGGGAGCGCGCTGTTGGTGGCTGCTGCTGTGGCTGGGCGAAGTCCACGACTGCGGACCCTGAGGTGAAAGCGAGCGGTTCGAATTCATTTGGTCCATAGCCACTGCCGAGTGGTGTTGCCGTTCCGCCGCCGAGCATGCCGCTTCCTCCTGGGAGGTTGGCGAGTCCGCTGCATAGTTCTTCGTCTGATAGATCTCCACCTGGGCTGCTGTGACCTATCGGAAATAGTTTAGAAGTGTTATTTTGATATAGGCACTTAAAAGAAAACAACAACTCACTTGAGAACGCATGTGGTCGATAGGATTGTCGCGTCGGCGATCCAAGGTATCCGCTGCCTTCTTCGTCAGAGAAGGGGTCATCGAGTCGCTGCATTGATTGCGATAGTCCCATGCCGCTGCAGGATGCATTCGGGAGGCAATGCGAAATTAAAAGCATAAAACCATTACAAATCATAGCGCATACACTACTTGGAGAGACTAGCAATAACTCGACTCGACTAGACATTCATTCCCATTCATTCATCATCGTCAGCTAGCAAATGAAGCTCGATAACTCAAAATCAAATCAAGACGAACGAACCAAATGAAATCGAATCGAATGCACATATTCATCATAAATGGGTAACGAAATAAAATACAAACCAGTGTCAATTGGGAGTAGGGGATTGGCTGAAATGCTGGAATTCACATACGTATGCGATTGACTTCGGCTACTAGCATTCAGTGGCCCTTGCCGGAATGACTGAGACCTGCAGCAAAAGAAAAGACAAGAGGATACCACGTTTTATATTTTCACATGCTCATTTTTTTGTTTTTTTTTTTCATTTTTTATTTTTGTTTATTAAGTGTTTTTATTTATTTTAGTTTTGGGTTTGTCTCTTAGGATTTAGTTCAGCGTTAGCTTTAGGGTTTAGTTTAGTTTTAGAGAGTTTAGTTAGTTTAGCACAGTTGAGTTTTGAGTTTTCCATTTGGATTTTCAATACGGATCTTTGCTTAAGATAGCGAAGTCATTTCAGAAGAAAGTATAACGAAAGGAAACATAAAGTGTAATAGTTGTAAAAGTTGGTTAGTAAACAACTAGAAAACAATGAATATAACACAACAAATATCCATTATCATAGTCAACTAAAGGGGGCGTGGACTTATGAAACGGATTCTCCCAAAACATTTACATATAAATGTTATTTGGGGCTTGAAATGGTAGGTTGCTTCGAATGCTTCATATTACTAGTTCTATGGGGAGTTCTAGTCTATAACTATACATTTAGTGGGAGCAATTAGAAGGGTTAACTAACGTGAGATTAGCTGGCTTACAGTCTATGCGGAACACACACAAAGAACATACGATAAAAGCAACTTTTTGGGTAAATTACCATTTAATGATTATTTTTAAGTATAACTCTTAAGTGCAAGGCAAACCAGGGATGAGATATGCATGTCCCCTCAAACGATGATTCGCAATGATTTAAATATATTTATGAAAGTCACAGCGGGGTAGGGTGCTTCAGATGAATGGTAAAACACAAATCAGAACGCTATCGAGTATGTTACACATAAAGGTTGGTTGGCCAATTGGATTGTTGTTAATTCTACTTTAATTTATGTATTTTTTTTTTTTTTACATTAACAAAAGTAAAAAAAGAAGAACAATCAAACGCTCTCATATGTACACGCACCCACGTTGGTTAGTGAGAAAAATCATTAAAGGAAATCTAAAAATGTATATAATTTTAAATCATTAGTGATAAAAAATGGTTGTCATTATTTGCTGTACATTTGACTAGATTAATTTTTTTTTCTTGTAATTTTTATTTAAGGATTTTTAGTTTTTGTGCTTTTCTTTGTTGTTTCAGTTACTGTTTTGTACCAATTGGTTTTTAACATCCTCTTCTCTTTTCTAAGGCGCTTCACCTCTACCGTGTCATGGTTATTTTCTGTTAGCATGTTGTGTGTTTTTTGGGATATTTGTTTCAGTTGGGTTGGGTAGTACGTAAGTATAAAAAAGTTTCTTTGAAAATAAACAACAAAATGGAAAATGTGTAAAGAAACAACGATCAAACAAACGAGTCGAGTTAGATGAAAACGAAGAATTGATGCTTGGCAATGAAGGCTGATGAATAAATATTATTTGTATTTGCTTAAAAATATTAATATATGAATATATAATATATTTTATATGAATTTCTCACAATATAACTTAATTTGATTTTAGTTTCAGTTAAGGAAATACAAGCTGCAAAAGCAAAAGCCTTATAAGTTCCTTTTCCAAACAACAAAAGTAAGTAAAATGAAAAATTCCGAGGGAAATCCATAAAACTTTTTTGAGAGAAAATTTGTATTACTAAAAAATAAACACGAGTATTGGTAAAAGCATTTAATTTCTGTTTAAATCTCGGATTATACAAAGAAGCAATTTTTGCATAATCCGCTACTAACCTTTGGAAGTTTTGACGTTTCACATAATTCTCGCGGACAAACTCAATAATCTGCTTCTGCGTTTTGCCGCTATAGCTGGAATATGAAGAAAAAGCATCAAGTAAGTAAATTAAATAAGGTTAAAAACTTATAAGATTACCGGAATGAGCTGCCACGCGACAGTACACGGGTTTTGCGCCTCGGCGTATTTTGCACGGTCGTGCAGCGAAAGAATCCATGGTTCTCTACGCATTTCTTCCAGAAGTTTTTGCACTCATTGCGACCCTCGAAGAAGAACTCTACGGTGTCTTTGTAATAGCCCTAAAAGAAAATATTATCGTAAGTTTCTTACTCATCTTACTGTGTATTCAGTAGTCTCTTACGTAGCCCTCGGGATGCAGTTTGACCAGAAAGCGCTTGCGCTTGAAGGAAATCTTGCGTATCTTGGCCCAGGAGAAGGTATTGATACGCGTGATGTTTTGGAAGACTGTGATGCCCATATGGGCAACAGCTAGATTCAGCGGCACTCCCTCTACATCCTTGGCTGGGTGCATCTTCATGCCATAAAGCTCACACCGTCGTGCCGTCTCCAAGAGGTTAAGGTCTGCCTCTGCCGGTGATTGGCCACTGAATAAACAAGGAAATAAATAAAATAATAAGGATTTAGGCGCTAAGTAACACAACGATTCACTTACACATGCTTCTTGTGGTTCTCCATGATCTTGCGCTGCATGGTGGCATCCTGGTGTGGCACAAACCGATACGACGACAGATACGTGTGGTCAGGATAATCCTCGGGCACAAAGTCACCACAAGAGGCCTGCACAATGTAACTGGCCATCAGTGCAGCCGTATTGTCGTTACACTGCAAACTGCCAGTGGCCAAATCTCGTTTGATTTGCAGGCAAAATAGATATCTAGAATGGAATAAAATATATTTATTGAAATAATATATAACGATTGTTAGGGTCATGCACTAACCTTGTATACTCCTCTTCCAGCTGGGCCGGATCCGGTGTATAAAACTTAATGCAAAAGCGCAGCACTGGATCGATGAGTGAGAGGCCCACCTGGCGATTCATCGGCTTCTCTAGATCCAGCCAGTATTTGGTGTGTGTGGATACCTCCTGGTATTCCAAGCCGAAGTAATCGGCCTCAAGTAAATTGAGCTGCCGACAAACTTGCTCGAATAGGACACGTCCCAGGGCTTTAGCCTAAAAAAAAATATTTGGAATAAATTAATAAGGAAAGGGCAGCGAAATGATTATCTTTGGGTAACACGGTGGAGTCAAAAATAACACTTTTCTTGCTATCTTTTTGTTTCTAACTACTTAAAAACATAACACTAGTCGTGGCTTAATTCTTGAAATCTTAATACATACAATAAACTGACTCTAAAAACTTTCAACAATAAATAGACTTTAGTTCTTAAGCAGTTTTCCAAGGCCATTTCAGTAATTATATAAACTTGGCTTTTTAAGGCCCAAATAAATTGCACTTCCAATTGGGGCATTGGGGCGTCCTTATAATAAAATAGTGTGGTTTACGGTGAAGGAGAGGGAAACGCTAAGTTCTTAAGAAAAGTCCGAGATGCTCTTAAGATGTCCGAACTTGTTGAGCTCGTTAAAATCTAATCCAGCGTGCAGTTTTGCAGCTCATCCCGGATGACGCCACACGCCAAATGCTTTGTGGGCGTTGCGTCTGATTGCATTTGAATAAATTTCAATTGAGTTGACGCCCGGTCTCTAACTAAACTAGGCCAGTTTGTCTCGGGCTGCAATTAAGTTATATAAAAATTCAGTTTCACTGGCAAAGTGAGCGAAAACTAAGAGGGAAATTCTATAAATCAAAGATGTTTTGGGTCACTTTGGAAAATGATAGGGGAATTCAAAAATATTTACAAATTTGTAAGCAATCAAAATAAATGTTGTTGTTTGTTTGCAATTATGTAATGACACACATTCAGAGCTTAAACTTAATAAATGTCTTCAGTTGCTAATCTTAGACCTTGTCGATACTAACAGGATAACAAATTACTTAAATGGAATCATCATCATTGTAAGCCACTCCTAAATGGCTTTCAACAATTAGCAAATTAGTCAAACAAATATTAATGGCCCAGAAGATTCCGAAAACCTATTAAATCCGGCACACACGACCCTAGGAATCGCACCTATTACGATTTCAATTCAATTTGCTAATCCCGACAGGCCGCATGTGTGTTTCTGCTCCTTGCTCCTCCTGGCATATATTAATTTGGGATCAAGGAGTAGTCCCTGCCAGATGTTTCAGCATTTGGCAAATACAGGGATTCGCATCGCGGCAGCAACCAATCAGGCAGAGTGCTTTGTCATTTCGATTCTGTTGCCAGCCCCATAAAAGCGGGCAACAATCTATCAGGGTGTGAAATGTTTCGCAAGGCGTGCCAAAATGTTATTAAACCCCTCCGTGTGTGATATTTGAATATTTTATGCCCCAAATTGTATGTAAGCTGCGATCTAAAAAGCAAAGGATTCGTTGGCTGTCATCCAAAATTTTTTTGCGGCTTTTCAACGCATAAATCGAATAAAATTGGGCGTGGCTGGACAGCAGCGTAAATAAAGATAAAGGGTCTTGGCCGATAAAAACGAGCCGTATGCCGATGTTTTCAGTTTCCGTTGAAAATTCGATAGCCAAGATAAACATAAACAAAAACAATCAGAGCAACAGAGGAAACTTTTCAAGCATTGGATATGAAATTACTCTGGTATCGTAATATATCTATTCAAAATAGGAAACCGTATTAAAAAAAACGTATCTACAATTTAGTTAGGTTAATTTATTTCAATGGTAATAAAAACACATACGAAAAATATAATGCGAAACCAAAAACCCAAAACCACATGACGTATTTCCGAGAAAATTAAACCTCAAAGATCAACAAGAACGAAATTGATGCCCCACCATAGCAGCCACAATTAAATTTTCATTTAATTTTCGCAATCAGAACTCGACCAAGTCCCCGGTGGCAAAACCCAATGAAAACTTTGTTTCATCCCTGTTAATGCAATTTTCATCACTTGCCTCTAGTCACAAATGCAATTTGCAGGCTCAAAAAGAATGGGAAAAATAGAAATATATAGAATTGCAAAATTTTCCCAACTAATTGTCAACCAAAATGTGATTTACACAATTTTTGAAACAATTGTTGTCCCCATTCTAGGATACTTTAATTAATTTGGCAAACAAGAGGGGCATAAGAGAGAGAGAGGCGAGATGGATGTGGGCCCAGAATTCTCCAGGGAATGTCCTGCTTTCTCTCCTTTTTGTCGCGACTGCATCGCCATTGTTTGCTGTTTTTCCAGCCAGGAGCCAGGAGCCACAATGAGGCTACGGCCACGCCCAAGCTCTGACATTTTCCTGGCCCTAGCACAGGGGCATACACGCATATATATGAATGTAGGCTGGCCATTCATTGGGAACGGCTTGATGCCACAGCCATTTATCTTTTTAGGCCAATTCTCGGATCTTCTCCAACTACAAAACAAACCAATTAACTTTGGCGACTTCTGCAGGCGGCGAGAACGGAAATGGCAAAACGACAGGAAGCTTTTCAATGCAAACAACCCACTTTACCCTTTTTCCAACCTCCCCCAAGCGCAGCTGTGAAAAGTTGGCCCACAATTGTCGGTTGTTCAATTTGTCGTCATCAAGAGACGAACGCGGCACAAGAGCATTAGCCATTGCATAAAAGCCACCTGCAGGCAGGTGTTGTATCTACACTATACAAATTTTGAGAAACTTAGAAAAACTAAGATTTTGTAGTAAATCTTGATTTCTCAAAAAAATGTGTAAATAGAAATTAATTGCTTTTTTTAACCACCTATAAATTTTAAAAATATTATAAAAAACATTTTTATAATCGTATTAAATAGTCACTTGTTCTATGTTAAAAAACATACATTTTACTTTCACATTTAAAAATTTTTCTATACATTTAAGGGGGGACATCTGAGTAACTGGCCAAAAAAAAACCGATTTTCAAGAATTTTTTTTGGCCAAATGAAAAAGCAAATCGAAAAATTTTTAATTAGGTTTGATAATGTTATATGTGAAGTACAAAATACATTTTTTTGGAATAAATCGAAAACAAAATGGCGGCTGTGCAGCATTTCTTCGTAGGCCCTATTTTTTTGAAAGGGGTCCATGGCCGGAAACCTAACGTCCTTAATTTTTGATCAAGAACAAAAAATCAAATTTAGTTATATTCTTTATCTCAACCGCTATCGACACACGTAGGATTTTTTCGATATTTTGATTTTTAGCAAAATGGTGAGTGATTAAATAAAATTTTCAATTTTCATGAGAAAAAAACGTCACAAAATTGTTGATAAAAAAAAGTAAGCAAAAAAAAAAAAATCCTACGTGTGTCGATAGCCATAGGTATTTTGAATATACTGTCAAAATTTCAGATCGATCGGTTAAGATTTGTTCGAGTTAGGTTTCCGGCCAACTCAAAAAAAGTGGCGTTTAAAGTTTTAAAATCGTATATGATTACATGTGAGGCATCGCCGCAGAATGGAAAATTTCGACACTTAGAAACTTTTGCCGGACTCTATCTTTAGATATGTTATTTTTAAGACCCTAAAGTATTTTTTTTTAAGGGAAAAAAAAAATTTCAATTTTGAAAAAAAGGTACTCAGATGTCCCCCCTTAAAGATCGTTCCCAAGGCAGTCATTTGATATATAGGGTGGAAATTCCTTCACTGCGTTTTGTACTTCAGACTAAAATTATAATACCCCGCAAGGGTATAATAACGTACTATAAAAAGCTTATAGCTGAACTCGAACTTATAAATTCTATATAAAAAATTCTATAAGCTAGAACCTATATTTATAGTGTAGAAAAAGTGTTGGCAGGAGGAAGGTACTACAACAAAAAGACGATGAAGGGGCACGTATGCGGGTGTCTGCTCTCATCTCGTTCCACATACATTGTCCTTGCCTATCGAATGGCCTCAGTTAACCCCATTGGTATAGATGCCAAATCTGCGGGTTGGCCTAGACTCCCAACTATTGGCAAACTTTGCACAGAAAAGTTAAGAATTTCGCAAAAGGAGAGTTTAATAACTCAAGTTTCTAAAGCAATATGTTTGACAAAGGGGAAATTGTTTCTAGGGTCTTTGCAGGAAATCGCATATAAAGTTATTTGCTGTGGTAAAGGAAGCGCCTGTTGTGACACTTTTAATAGTGATAAACGACATAGAAGTTTGTTGAAGTTAGTAGAATTGTTCGTTAATTAAACAGAATAGAATTTCGAGTAGACTAATCGGCAGAAAATAGTAACTTTCTATGGACTTGAAAATAATTTAAAATTTATTCATGTAATCTCGAATTGTTTAACGATAAAAAATAAATAATATTAAAAAATACAGAACAATTTTTCAGTTTTATTGACCTTGAGTTTGATATAAACAGCTTTTTTGATTTATTCAACGTTTTTTTTTTTATTAATGTGCCCTTTTCGCATTCCCCTCTCCAACTTGTATAATCTATAAAACCCATAAATACTTTTTGTTGGCGTCATGACTTTATACAGGTCCAAAATGGACTTCCATTATTCTGCATTATCAGCAAAATTCGCTCAACACATCGAGATAAGCTTTTAATATTGTTGGTGCTCAAGGAAAAACGCACAAAGGCAAAACCCACAAATATAAATAAAAACATTTTTGTTTGATAAATAAATGAAATGGCGTCAACATCGAAATTCTCGAGAGTAGCATAAAAGCCAAAACATTCCCAACCGAGACCAAAAGCATAGATTTGCTAAGTGCACCGCCAACTGCTCTACATTCTCCGGGCTCTCTGGGCCAGAAAAATATTTCAATGCAAGCATTTCGGCAGGTGAAATTCTTCTTCGGCAGGCTTCACATATGAGAGATTTGGCTAGAAATTCCATTCGTTTTGGTCAGGACGTGGCCGCAAGCCACAGCCTTTACCACATCCTCGTCAGTTTCATGTCGTTCCACATTCTCATTGCCATTCACAACCGTATTATCGTTTACAAGCCACAAAATCCATTAGAAGCCTTGATTAATAATGCAGTTGACCGACCATGCAACAATATTCGTTTCTAGTCAGGGTCCAGCACACAAGCATGGAGACTAGCAAAAGCAGTCCTGTTGTTGGTAAAACGAATCTAAAGAGGGTTGGGTGCCGCCACAAGGCTTCTATTTTTAAAAAATGCAACCATGTCAATATATAGTACGAGTGTGTTACGTATACGCAGCGCTATAAGAGAATTTCTGTGCGCAGCAAAAATTGTAACATGATTGAATTTTTAATGTGGCAAGGAAAATGCGATACTGCTAAAGGTAGACTTTTGGTATACTCTATATTCACCAAAACTAAAATTTAAACTTAAAAATAGGACAATAAATGACTATAGAGCTTCTGCATTATTGAATCCAAATTTTACGAGAAATAATAAACCCAATTGCTTGCTTTTTTCATACTTAAACTCTTTAAGCCTTTGAAAATCCAACATTTAGAACACTCAACGAGTAAACGAAAAGCATCAGAACTTCCACAACATCATGTTTTGGGATAAACTGTCGAGTTTGCCTTGGGCAAATGCAAAAGGGAAAAATGCCACCAGAGGAACGCAGACAGAGAGTGGCATAAACTCGCATAAAAATAGTTTTGTGCGGAGCACTTTACAACATTTAGCAAGCCGGGGTACCGCCTCAAGTGCCACTGGTTCACGAAAAGGTCAGGCCAGAGACCCAACAACAAAGACTACGACAATACCCGGTAGCTATTGCTAAACCCAACTCCCCAGTCTAAAACCACAACCCCCAACCCACTCCACTGGCAACCCTAACCGAAAACCACCCAAACAATGGAATCCATTTTGTTGCTGCCCTGAAACATTTCCACTTCTCGTGGCTCTCTTGCTCGCCTGTTGAAGCCTTTGAAATGTGTCTACCGTTTTGGTAGGCTGGAAGTTACACTCAAAAAGCTTAGTTTAAAAACATATAAGTGGTTGCAAAATTAAAAACGTGATGTTGCTTTGATTGAGAATTTAACTGCCTTTAAAATGGTCCGTTTCTATTTGAATCTTTCATCTACTGAACGATTTAACTGAAAGATATTTACTAAATAGCAATTTATTTCAAATTTATCTCAACATAATATGCTTAGTTTAAAAATACATATGACTTTCTATTGAAATATTCATAAAATTGTTCACATTAGTCATTTAATATTAAGTAATCTCTATTAATTTTAAATGTGGATTGACTGACGCAGTAACTTAAAAGTTGTATACTTGTAGCATCAGGATAACTCAAATTTTTTTAAAAGACAAATTCTGCTGTGATTTTGTAGTGTACGCTTTTGGGCGTGGCCACTTAGTAGGCTGAGGCTAATGTTGCCAGGAAGTGGCGCAAGGAACACGAACTACATGAACATGCCGAGCATACTACGAAAAAATCCATTAACCAACACAGGGTTCAAAACAACAGGGCAAAGACGAAGTCCTACAACAGGCAGTAAAACAAGAGGAAGCTAAAGAAGTAAGCCAAGAGTATTTTTAGGCCAATTCAGTTTGAATTAATGCGATTTGCGGTCAACACTCAGACATGAACAGCAGCAATAGACAACAGTTCGTAGACCCCAGTGCAGCATCCAACCAAAATAAAAAAACACCCCACGAAATCTATGCCAAGCTGTTGAGTTGGCCATGTTTTATTTGGAGAGTGGATGGGGAGCGGGATCCATGGACCAGAGAACGGATGTACTGCATCTGCACTGTACCACTCCCCCTGCCCACTATCGCTGTTGATTTCAGCCTGTGTGCCAGGGGAAACGCAGTGAAAGAATTTCCGTTTGCTGGCCCCATGCCAAACAAACCGAGTGCCACGCCTACCGAAAACTTAAGACCTCTTGTCGCATATATCCCTACGCCCTCCCTTCTCCTTTCCGACCTTTTGCTCCGGCTGTTTTGAGTCTACATTTAATTAAAAGTAGCTTCTCATATATTTTTCCATTTGCACGTGAAATGGTTTGGTTCGAGGCAGTGCTCCACATGCATACGAAGTTGTGTACACATTGGAGATTATGCATTTATGCAATTCTTATTTAACGAATGACTTCCGTTTCAGCAGGTGCTTCCTGGGAAGGGATCTTCAAAATGGAGCTGGGTGCCAGAAAATGCATAGGTTTAGGGAATTTTTGTTTAATTTATTTTAAATTTATTTATTTTTATACATTTACTACAACCTTGTTCTGAAATAAAAATAATTCAGGTTGTATTAAAAGTCATTCCAATTTTATAATTTTATATGCTTTGGAAATCTTTTCCTATTGTTGTCTAGAAAATTTGCGTTACATCAACGCCTTGAGAATCAATTAATCTAGCCTAGTAGTCGATACTAATCCGCCCTTGAAAATTCTAGTGTACTTTAATTAAAATATGGGAATTCGTACAGCCATACCAAGATCATACTAAAGGTAAACAATTATTGGAAAAGTTGCTGATAAATGGAGGGTTTCAACATTTCATTTCAACGCTGAATGAAGTAAATACTAAAACTATATTCCAATGGCCAATGGACTTTAAGAGAACATCTCCCTTAAGGGCTTCAAACCAATCGTTTTGGTTCTTAAATTAAATCTTACCTGGACTTGGAACATGGTAATAGAATCGTCTAGCATCTGAATACGAACGGTCAGCTTCTTTCCGCCACGGTGTCTGGGCGTTGAAGGCGTGCCATCTACTCCTGATGGAGTACTGAGTGAGTGAGTCATACGGCCGCCGGGCAGACCTCCACCGCCGCCGCCGGTGGCCAGGTCATAGTGACGCCCGCCTCCTCCGCCGCCGGCGGATCGCGTTGCTGTGCCCATGTCGGCCAAGGACATCTTGTAGACGAGAATCTTGGTTGGGACTTGCTAAGGATCTGGAATAGATCGATCTAGCTCCTGTCTTGTAGCTCTGTTGTCTTCGTTGAGGCTTGTGTTAAATGCTTTAACTTGGAATGGTCTGGGTTCGTTTCGTTTTCTCGTTAATTGAATTGCTCAGCTGTTTCGTTTATTTCCCCTATTGTCTGTGCGAGTGCTTAATTCAATTTCAATTCGTTGCCAGAAAAGAACAATAACGAAAACTGGAAGCTGCAACTCCACACACGCACGTACGCACATGTGTTTCACATTTGCTCCGATGGCTCCTAGGTTCCAATCGTTCCTCTTGAGTTCCTAAGTCGGATCTTGAGCGCTTCTGGCATATTTCCCACTGGTTTGGCTAAATTTATTTGTTCAGTTTTGAAATTTTGCTGGGCACATTAACATTAACAACAAGCATGTGTGGCATTCGGTTTCCTCATCATAGTTCCTTTGGTTTTGGCATCGTTTTCCTAAAAAAGAAGAGTAAGAAAACTCCATGTTAGGCATAATCATAAGTGCTTACAAAATTAATGGATGGGAAATATTGGGATGAACTTGTGAACTAGAATATAAGTGTTTTTAAGTTACTTGTAAATCAAAAGTAGTTCAAGAAGACGGTGTTTCCAAAATTTGTTTTATTGACGATGTAACCAAAACGTTTTAAATTAAATAAGCCTGAGAAAAAAGCACACAATTGCTGTTAATATATACTATTTTGCATATGAGGATACTGACAAAAAAAGACTAGATTGACTCGGCTGTGGATACTAATCAAGACCAGGGTGGAATATACTCCTTCATTACGTTGCGTAACATTAACCCATAACATTCTGGTGTATTCCCACCACCTCCTTAGAAATCAAAATCAATGGCGCATAGCAACCAAGACATTTATCGGGCACTTTGAAACTATTCTTCAGACTTGAAATAATAAATGACACAATAGCAGTGGGCGGCAATCCCTGTCTTTCTCTCCATTAAAAATTAAAGCCCAAACAATGACCCAAATAAATGACTGACTGACTGGAAATTATTTAAACCATTATAAACTCATAAAAAATCGAAGCCGAAAGCGACTAACATTGGGAAATGGGAGGAAGAAATTAGTGAGGCACCTGTGAAAATAAATAAGCTTATCAAAATCGACCCACGGGATATAAACAAGAGAAATGTCTTTTGGGGGAAAAGGCGGCAAATCAAATGGGACTACTTTTCTGCTTCTTATTTCTGGGTTGCCGCTTGTCTTGGCCGATCAAGTTTGACGGGCCCCAGGCCCCGAAAAGCCAACCCACGTGGATAGCCCACGCTCAAAACAACAACAAAAAAATAAAAGAAGTAAAACTCCAAAGCTTGAAGTCATCGCCAACCTACATCGAAATAAATAGAAAGAGAAAAAAAGAAGTTTGGCGCCAATTATGCTGTGGGCAGGCCATAGAAGATAGGCAGAAAAAATAATAATAAAATATGAACAAAATTATGAAGAGACTGCCGTCCGCAAAGAAGCATTTATTTATGTCTTGGCTCGTAAATTTGAATACGAACGTGGCCGGCTGGCTGTCAATTTGCGAGATACAGGATGCCAGCCCCATCCATGAGGTTGAATGGGGCGTGAAATGTGTGAATTTACGATGCGATACGAGTCTCTTGTATGCATATAGGCAGGTTGAAGGAGACACTATAAAGCATATGCCTTGGCTTGATAACGATACCCGACAGCGTTCAATGAACCGCAGACTTTTCGGGCAGTCCGCCCATTGCTGTAACTTAACTATATCTTTTTTTCTCTATGAACCCTTTCTCATATGTTATGTGTTTGTGCCATGTCTAAAAACTGAAGCAGTTTGTTTGGCTTCACGGTTTGCATAAGTCACGTTTTGTCATAAATATCTCAAATGATTAGCATGTGCTCATAAAGAACATTGTGTATACATGCTTACGAAAGAAATGCATGTTTGTGAGCCATTTGTCTTTGCTAATTGTGTAATGATTAATGGTACCGTGCCGAAGGGCTTCCAGATAAATTTGTACTAGAAAAAAATATAAATTAATATTTCAAGCATGAAATGTCCTAAGAATGCAAGACAACTATATTATATTTTCTTTATTTCAGAATACTTAGAAACTTTGAGAGTTTTCTTTTTACTTATAGAATATTATAAGTAAACCATATTTAAAGAATTAGGTTTATAAATAACAGCATCACAACTTGCTCTCAATCAGTGGGGACCCACTTTTGTGATCCTTAATCATAAAACACCTTATGCGGAAATCTCTTGTACGAGTACTCAATATTAATGATGCTCAGCGACTCATGGAAGTTGTCTCCCAATCTAGTCTCACCAACTAGTTACTCCAAGTCATAGAATGGGGTAAAAGTACCGCTAGATGAGCCAAGTTTGGCTTTGGCACCGTTTGGCGAAGTATACGTTTATTCTTGCCACATCTAGCAGGCCTTATTGGCCACATACTTCTCTGCATTCCGGGGCTCAAATTGGCGAATAATGCGCCCCATCTGCTGCAAATCTGTCCATCTTAATCACTGGCAGCCAAAGTTGAGCCGTGAAGAGTTTGTCGTTTGCCAAGTAAAGTTTAACAAGTTTCTAAGTACAGCAGAAGAAAGCAGAAGCCTCTGGTTAAAGTATCTTTCTCGCTTCTTCATATCTGTATCTATGTGATGCATTGTGCGAGAGTGTGTGACCCAAAAAGTTGTGTGTGCTCGTCACCCATCAAAGTTTTATGACTTTTATATGCTGTCGAGTGGCATAAATTCATGGTTTATTAATTAAGTTTCGCTTGCCATTCTAGGTGTGTTGGATAAGGTCAGAAACGGGGCGTGGTTCCATTTTGAATATTTTAAAGTAAGAGGGTATCCTGGGACGTGTATCCCAATGTACTGAATTCTTTATACATTTAATACATACTAGTTACGTCTCTTAAGACATTGTATAGGCATAATCGGCATAAATGTATACCAATATACTTTATTACAAATAATTGACAGTTTCAATTAGATTTTCAAGAACAATTTTGCTTTAATAAGCTATACATTTTTCATATTCATCATATTTCATTTAAATTTTAAACTTTTTAAACATGTCCATTTCAATTAAGACATTCGAAATCTTGAACTGGGTTTTATTAATGTATCTGGTATACCCGAAACGCATCTCAATTAAAATATATTTCCCGCATCTTCCATAAGCCTCCAACTCCTTCTCGAAGAAAAAGATGAATCACTTGAAGATTTCTTTGGAAAATAAGGCAGGCAAATGCAAAGCAGGCCAAAGCCCGAGGAACAACAATTGCAGCTGGGTGTTTGTATAGGGCCAAAGAAAGAAAAATTAAAACTTCGACGAAGAAAAAATCTCTTTTACATCCCACATGGTACATCGTTTTCCATTCTGTCTCTCTTGCACCGCTTGCATTTTTTTCACGTTTTTCAGTGGTTTAAAAATAAAACGCACAAACAGAATTTATGTGTGTGTGCTTGTGGGTATAAAAGGATGCACTCCGCTTGTCCGTCAGTCAGGCCGATTTTTATACGCGGTATACTCATGGGTATACTCAAGGGTATATTGTATTCTTGCACATGTTATGCAGCCTTTGAAAATATTCTAAGCATTGGCATGAATTATCTATTTATTCTCTTCAAATTGTTCTTATATTGATCAGATCATTATCTCCTGTACAGCAAAATGTAATCCAATATCAAAACATTTTACTTTTTGGGCAAGTATACTAGTAACTGACGGGTATTTCATAGTCGGAACTCTTGATTATAGCGTTGTTTCTTGTTTGGTTTTTCTTTTTGCTACTGGCAGCAAGTCAGTGCATTTCAAAGTCAACTCTTTTTAGGCGTCGGCACAGCCTTTAGTGCAGTTCATTAAAATATTTATTTAAAGTCCCCCAACTCATACGCACATACTGCGAACATCCCAACAACCACGGCCAGTTGCTCTTTTATATGACTCGGCTCTTTGTTTATCATTTCATTATATACAGCCATACTTTATGGATATATAGAGGCACGAAGAATAAGATATACATATGCAGGCAGGAAGGGTAAAGCGGAGGGACACATGTGTGTGGCAAACTTTTTCGCTGAGCCAGCCCTTCGTTGTCTGGTTTTTTTTTTTACTTGTCAACAGATAATATTCCTCAGAACCCTCAGAATCTCTTAATTGCTTTCTGTGCTCGATGTGAGCTGCGATCCTATAGAATTATCTGTTTTGTGTAACTTGCTCTCCTTCGTTATTTATAATAATTACTATCAATATAACAAGAAAACCTATTTTAACCGCACTTCAATAAAGAGATCGAAAGGAAGATATTTACATTATATAAAATGGGAAAATAATCTAAATAATCGTTACAAATTCCACTCTTTAAACAAAGAAACATTGATAAAGCCTTTCAGTTATAGAAAAACTTGGCTAGATCTTAGTTAATTTCCCTTTGATCTAGCGTATCAGCCGACGATAAATATTTTCACATGCCATAGCAGATTATTTGCTAATATACAGTACAAGCCTCGAACTCAGGGGAAATATGAAGAAGGAAGAAAAACATAGACGGCCACAAGAAACCGCAATCGACAACGTAAAATGTGAGTGTATCTGTGTAAAAATCAATTAGTATTGTCAAAGGTAGCTCTCAGATACACACCGATATCTTCGCGTATGACGAAAGCATATAGGCGGCAATGTACGAAGTGGAAAATAAAACCCGTTGACAAACAAACCAAGTGACAGCTGGGCAACACTTTGACTGAACAAACAAGTGGCTATGGGTATTGATTAGACGGAGACCCTCCCCCAAAGGCGCCCCCTGACCCACCGAACCACTCGTGCCAACAACTTGAACGGAATTTACAACAAATTATGGCAATTTGTTGAACAAAGCCAGATAAAAGTCGAACTAAAAATTGCAAAAAATCATGTGCCAGGAATAGATAAAAGTTCTTGAAGTGAGGTGACAGCCTTGTGGCGGGAAACTAACTTTTATTTTTTTAAAGCATAATGGAAAGGTTAGAAGAGCTCTAGGACAGTGGATAGATAATAATATTAATTATATAATTAAATACTAAGAAGTACTTTTTCATTTTCTATAGTGTTATTCGATAGATTGATTATAACTTAGCTGGAAGCTACTGTACCAGCGCTCAAACGCTCGAACTGCGCTAATTTATATGCAGCACATGACACGCCATGACACCAGATACATTTTGATTTTTTATGCTGCTCAAAACGGAAATGGAAATCGTTTTATGCTTTGACCAAAACCAGAAAACCTGCCAACGAGTGTAAATCACTGCCCAGAGACAACTAATTTCAATTAAACTACCGAAAAACAAAGAAAAGCATTTCAATGAGTGCAGGCACCGGCCACCCTCATTTCATTCTTTGTTTTTTTTTTTCGGTTTTCCCCGCTTGCACAAAACGGAAAGAAGGCCCAAAAAGCTAACAAAGCGAATTGAGATCGCAAATAAAATATGTATAGACTGTGTATGGAAGTTGGCCGGCAACTTAATTTAGCCGGGCCCATTGCGGCTGTCAGCGGACTACGGACTAAGCTGCAACTGTGTATCTCTAAGCTACAGTGTATGTCCACTGTTGACCCATTTTATCTGCACGATTAACTCGTTCTCTTTTGGTCAACAAGCCAAGTCAAGTTTTATTTCAGCTCCGGCTTCTATTATTCTGTGTTGGTTTCCAGTTGAACTCAGCATCCGTGTGTTGAAGTCAACATTAGCTGTTTGTGTACAAAAAGATATCGCAAACACGCGACGCCTTGTAAATGCAAACTACAAGAAAAGTTTGTTTTATTTGAATTTGAAAAAGATTCTATTGAACAGTGACTAGGAATTGAAAATTAAATATATTTAATGTTAGGAAATTAATATTTTTAAATATAAGAGATTATATTATGTTTATAATAAAAGATTATATTATGTTTCCCAACTCTACCAAAAAACTGTATTATTTCGATGATCTGCCTGAGGAGCTCTAAATGATGATGTCACAAGGGCGGCTAGAGTTGCCAAAAATAAAGTAAATAAATAAAATCATCATAAATTGGAAAGAAAAAAGACTCATTCGCGTCGTCTGAGCCCAACAGCCATGCTAACAAACGAGTATTTTTAACAGCTTGCTCCAGTCAAGTGTGTTGCCGTCGCTGGCTTATCTACCTCTCCGCCACACTCCCCCCTTTTACGCTCTCCTAACACACACATGAGCGCTACTGCTGATAACGAAGCATGTAAGCGGAATGTGTAAATAGAAAATACAGTTGAACTTCCCTAAAACAAAATAGCGTCGTTTTAGAAATGTATAACAGTTATTTATGTTATTTATTCTTTGAAATATATTTTAGGAAAGGGTTAATTCGTCGATTTTTGTCATCTTTTTACCCAAAAAACAATAAATATTGCAAATTAGAAATTAAATTGCTGATATACATAGGTTGTTAAGTTATAAACTTAATGGAAAAACTTTTATAAAATCCGTACTGTAGAAAATGTCTAGATGTAAACGTTCCACTGTAGTTTAAACTTTAGGTACCGATCCCCCCCTCCCATTGGCATGCCCTCCTTTGCCCATCGTTTATCTATTTGATTGCTGGCTGTTGCCGCTGCAGTCTAGATATAGATACTGGCACCGTTATGTGAACCATGTAACTGTATCCCATGTGCGGGCGAGCGTTATCATCCATCTCTTGGCACTTATCGATAAGTTCCCGTTTTCATGTTCACTTCTTTCGCAGACACAGGCTGTGTTGACAAGCCTCGTCATAATGCAAATACAGATACGAAATGCGAAATATGAAATACGAAAATGCGCTGACCTCATCGCGCGATAAAAGTTAAGAATCCGATAAGGTGAATTTGAAGAAAAACCTTTTGTTTGAATTCACTTCCTTTGAGCAAAATGAAAGCGAAAATGTATTGAAAAATCAACAGTCACACGAAGAAAAAGAGAAGAAAAGAGAGAGAGAGAAATTTACAGTGGGTGGTTCTAGAGGTGATGGGTGGTGGTGGCAAGTCAAGCAAATGCAATGACCTGAATTTTGAGCATTTTAAGCAAGGAAATGTGAAAAGGGCGATAAGAAGACGCGGAAGAAGAGTAAAATGTGGACCGGAAGGCAAAACCGAAAGGATTTTGAGAGAAATCACAACAAAAAACCGGAGGGATACAAAATGCAAGTGAATTATTTAAAACACAATTTAAGAAGTAATTTAAAATAATAAAATTGAATTGTTTTGAGATGCAAAGAAAACTGTATAATATAAAGAAGGTCTACTGAGAATGATTATACTGTTTAAATTAAAACGACTACTTAATAAATATCAATTATCAATAATTGTGTATATTGTGCTATACTGAAAGTTTTTATAGATAAATGTTTTGTCTAATATCAAGATATTAGTTGTAAAATGTATTTACAAGTATATAGTAAAGATAAATACTAACTTCACTTCAAATAATAGTTATGAGAAATAAAACAGAAAAATGTATAATAAACCAAACAGTTTTTACAATAATTAAAATGATTTATAAACATCTAGTTTTAAAAATTGACAATTGAAACTTTACAAAATTAAATGGATTTTCCAACAAGTTAAGTTAACAAGTTAACAAAGTTAATTATAAATGCAATTAAAGTCTATTACCATCTATTACCCCGTGTTTGAGCTTTTCTTCTCTTTCACAACAATCTCACAAGCAGCTCACACTCAACGTCCCTGTCTTTATCCTTATTTTAATGGCTGCATTTTCCCCGAATGTTGAAAAGGTAAACATGTGTTGCCAAAAAACATAAAACATGAAACGCAAAAAACACCCAGCGAAAATAACGGTTCAAGCAAGGCGCGGCACCTTTCGAAGCGCAGGCGACAAGTGTTTACGAAAAGAGAGAAAAAAAAAAAGGAAACAGCCCGAAAACCCTGGCTCCCCGAACCGCGCATGTATGCGTGATCTGGGAGGCTGTGTGTCCTTGTGCCTGGCACAATACACCACCAGAGGAGAGTGTTTCAAACGCCCAGGGGGAGGAGGGAGCAAGGGCCACCCGTTTTGTTGTTGTCAAAGTCTACACTTGCCTTGTTTCTTCTTCTTGTTCCTCTCTCGCCTTCTCGCTCTCGCCCAGCTTAGCTGTATTCGCAGTGGTGTGCGTGCGCGGGTGAAGCTGTCAGTGTGTGTGTGATGGAATTTACGTGCTTATTGAATTTTCAACGCTGCGAGTTGCGCGAAAAAACAATGAAAACTCGCCGAGCTTGTCGCTTTGAACTACAATTAATTTCAATTTAATTAAAAGCGCGATGGCAGGCTGGAATTTCTCATTTTCTGGGTGTTGTTTTCTGCCAAGCTGCGCCCTTTACACAGATACACACTCACACACACGAGCGCGTAAGCTGAGAACTTCTCAGTGCGAAAAATTCACAACTTCAGTTGGACGAATAAAAACTAAAATACAAACAGATCGCGCACTTCGGTTGCTGTCAATTGGTCGGTGTGTGTTTCCCGCACATGCTGTCCACTGATCCACTGTTTTCCGCTGCAATTTTCAGTGTTTCACTGCATTTTCCGCCCGCGACGAGCGTGGACCAACCGTGCGTGGGAAAATTTCGAAACAGTGTGACCAAACATATGTTTCTTGTAGGGATGAGAAAAATATATGTTATCGATATTTCTGTAATAAAAATAAATATTTATATCGTGATATTTTCGTTACCTGATATATCGCATATCGCTATTTTTTAAATATATTTTTTAAATTTCCCTATTGGTCGCTTCCTCAAAAAGTGATCCAATATCTATTTAAATGTCATCCAATATGATACTTTTTTAATCATTTAGTCGTCAAGGAAATACCCTTATATTAACCTAGCATATCTGATTTATTTTTTAAGAAATATGTTTATTTCTCCCTATTAAATAATAAATACATTTTGGCGCATGTTTTTAAGCTATGAATTCTAGCTCAAAATATTATTAGATTTCATTGAAATATTTTATGTAAAAGACAATGAATATTGATTATTTATGATTCCATATATTACTTGCATTTGTTAATTATTTTGTTACTTATTTATATTAACTTTCTTTGTAATCTATTCTACTCATCACTGGTATAACTGAAACAGCCCGTTTATTACAAAAAAATACAAAGAGTGTGACCGTTACAATGCAATAAAATTACAAAGGAATGGCGGAAATATTTTAAATTATTATATGTTTGGAAAATATTGTTTAAATTTTTAATGTTTTAAATGAAAACTAAGGTTTTAAAATCTGTTTCTCGATTAAATTGTAATTTTGTGTCTGTATGTGTATGTTTTATACGAAATAAAAGAACACTATTTTAAAACAGTTCTCCCTTACCAATTAAGGATTTTAAAATGTATTGTTTATGTCGGGACGGCGCGAACGCCATTCCCGGCTACCAAAAATTACACGCACGAGTTATTCACATTAGGAATAATCGCAGAGGTCAACTCAGCCGAAGTGCAATGGCCAAGCCTCACTCCGGAGGAACCGCCTTCGTGATCACGGTTAACCTCTACGCCAGGTAAGTATGCTTTTCTCCGCTCGGCCTAGGGGTTTCCATGAACGAGCCGCTAGAAACGGTTGGGAATTATAAGTCCGCAAGTGGGGTGACAAGTCATCCCCGAAGTTATACTACAAGCATCTACTAGACCTTCCCTTGAGGGAAGGATCTGTATTTAAGGTTCTGTATTTAATTCTTTTCAAAATCTCCAATTGTTGAAAATAAACTAAAGTATTATATATTCATCTTCAATGGGTATCTTAGAGGTTTTTATATTATTAAACTTAAAATGTAGTTTCCCTTGTAATGTAGTTGTCAACATTAAAACCCTAAAAATAAATTAAACCTCGAAAAAATATATATTTACATATATGTACAAATGGCAAATTTATTACTCTTTATTTAAAATCAACGTGTTTTTTTTCAATTTGGGGAATGATGGAATGCTGTTATTGTATTTCTAAAATATGACAAGCACTTAATTTATTTGCGTATTTATATAAATGTTTAACAATATAGATTTTAATTTTCAACATCGAGTTTTGCATCTTTTGAGGGATTCCTGGCTGGGACAATGATTAATGAAATAATTTAAAGAAAATGAAGGGTTTATGTGGCTTTACTTTTTAGCCTTTGCCTTTGACTTTGAGGCGGTTGAGGATGCTGCCTTTTTGGAACCACCAGCTGCCTTCGAAGTGCTGGCTGCTGTAGACTTTTTTTTAGTCTTTATAAGACCGTCGAGTTCCAGGTTATCCTTATCCTCATCGTCCTCCGAATCGGCTTTAGTTCCGGCGCCCTCTTCGTCAGCATCATCTGCGGCAAGGTAGTCCTCATCGCCGCCGCCAGCAGCCTCGGCTTTTTTCTTTTTAATGCCAGCTTGAGCGGAATAGGAGTAGGCCATCACTTCCTTGTTGTAGGTTCGTGTCAGAGCGGCCTTTACTCTGCCATCCACGGCGTCTAGGGGCGATTTCTTGCCCGGCCACGAAGTCAACTCGACCAGCGAGTCCAGATCCTCGCGCAATAGATGGTAATCCTTCATGACTTCGATTGCAGCCGGCACACCTTCTTGTCCCTCCTTGGCCAGAGGCCGGCATATATTATTTAGCAGGAATGGGGCATAATCCAGCCGCACAGATAACCTAGACCCTGAGGTGCATACCCTAGTATGATCATGGAGCTCCTGAGCCAGCCTGGCCCGTTTTCCCGTCCGGGAATTCTTTCCTAGCCAGCCGGGGAAGTTGATTTGGCCAGTGAAGTGGCCGCTCATGTGCTCACCAGGCAGCACTGAGCTAAAAAAGGCCTGAGTGGGCAACAGACTCCAAGCAGAGTTCGCACGTATACGCTTATCGATCAGATCGCCCAGGCTAAGCGCATCCGCCGTAGCCGCCACCTTAGCCAGCACATCCTTCCTGTGAATACAATAGAAACAAAGGTAAAAATAAATGTATTGTAATGTTGTAAAGATTTAACTTACGCGTTCCCCTTTGGTGTCACCTGAAGGTAGTTTTGCTGCACAAAGAGCGGGGCCAGGCTGTAGTCGTGGAAGAAGAGGTCGGACTTGTCGGCAAGGCTCATGCGCTTGTGCTCCTCGGCCGTGAACACTTTTCGTACCACTTCCCAAGGACCCAACTTGAGATCCTTGCTGGCCACATGTTGACCCGCTTTGTCGGATGTGTCCTCCTTGGCACTGAGCAGGGCTATGTGATTGATAGACTGGCGGATATCATTGTTGGTGGCAGATATTATCTCCTCCACCTTGGCCGGCGTTATCTTAACCTTCTCCTTGAAGCAGATGCTCATGATTTTTCCCTTGATCTGCTCGAGACGCGGTCTCTGGAATCGCAGGTCATAGCAGTAGTTGACCAATGATCGGATCTTTGGATGAGTGCGATCATTACACATGCAAATGATAGGAATCGAGCTGTCCTTGATTAACGCAATAAGCTCCTGCATGCCACCGCGATCCTCGTTGCCGGCCATTCCATCCACCTCGTCCATGATAAGCACATGCTTCCGGGACACAGCCTGCCCCTGGCCGCTGAAGTAGCCCGAAAGAGATTTATTGCTCAGAAGGGTGGATACTTCGTCTTTGAGCAGGCGCTTGCTACGCGTGTCCGAGGCATTAAACTCTACGGCATCGAATCCCAGTTCCTTGGCCACCAAAGTGGCAGTTGTGGTCTTTCCGATACCTGGCGGTCCTGAGAGCAGCGCCGCCTTGTAGAAACTGCCGTCATCATTCTTTGCCCAGGGATTAGGTCGTTGTGGTTTATTCTTGCCGTCGTGGTTAACATACCACTTGGTCAGCCAATTCATTAGCCTTAAACGAGTTGAGGTGAGCCAATGGATGTGTACTTTACCTTATCTAAATTGTTACTTACTTGGTTACATTGCTGGCGGCTCCTGCCTGGCCCACAATCTCCTTTATGTTCGTGGGCTTGTGTTTGTCCACCCATGCCATGCTGTTTTCATCCAGCTTCTTGGTTTCGGTGGCTTTTATCACCGGAGTCTGGGAACTTGGCTCCTTTTTAACCTTGAGGGTGACGGCCGGCACGGGTTCTCCATTGTGCTTTGCTTTTTTGGCGTCGGGGGAAGTCGGGTGATCCTCCTTGATCTTATGCTTGGTAGCACTCTTTTCTTCCTTAACTCTTGGTTTCGTTTCCTCTTTCTCCTCTTTAACCTTCGACTTTCTGACGGCAGACTTCTCCTCGGTTTTCACCTTTTCTTTGCTGGTGGCCTTCTGCTGCTCCTTGGGGCTCAGTTTTTCCTCTTTAACCGACTTGGATAGGCCTGACTTTTCCCTGATTAAGTCGAATAAACCATCTTCGCTGAGAATGGGTATGTTGAGCTCTTCAGCAACGGCCAGTTTCTTGGGTCCTGCTTCTTCGCCTACTACCAGATACTTCAGCTTCTTGCCCACTACTGTCATCACTTTGCCACCGTACTCCTTGATCACCGCCTCGGCCTCCTCGCGCTCCATGGACTCGAGGACTCCGGTGACCACAAAGGTCAGACCACTGAGACAATTTGGCGATCCTTTCGGGATTTCCTTGCTGCCCGGATTTAGGCAACTGCTGCGATTCTTGTACTTCTGGTAGAGTACGGCAGACATGCGTTTCCGTTCGTGGCGTTCTTCGTCCGTTAAAACACTGGTTTCCAGATCAACCGGAGGCTTCTCTTTCTTGGCCCGCGGAGTGGTGGCTTTTGGCTTGGCAGCCTTTGGTTTGGCAGGTTCCGGACTGATTATTTTGGGTTTTTTCTCGGCTGTGGACTTGATTTCCGTCTTGGGAACCGTCTCCACCTCCTCCGCGGCCCTTAAACTCTCTTCCAGGTCCACTTCCATGAGGCTCTTGTCGATTTCCTCATTTTCAAACTCCAGAACCGCCTTGGTCTTTGGCTTGGGTATCACCACCCTCTTGGTTTCGCCACCAAACAGCTCCGAAGGATCCACGTGCTTCTTCAGCTTTGACAAGGCCGGTTTTTTGCCATTTGTAATCGATTTCTTATTATCTGGCTCTGGAGTGGCCGTCACAACTTCATCATCGCTGGATATCACCTTGGAGGTCTTGCGTTTCTTGGATTCCTGGGGACTGGCGGCCACCTCGTCCTCGTCGCTGGATATCACAAGGGGCTTGCGGCGTTTTGGCGCCTTTGGTGGCGTCTCGCCGACTGCTGCGTCCGCATTTTTCGGTTTGCTGGGCAGCCGCTTGAAGAATGAGTCGATGCCCTGGAAACAATAAATTTAGATAAATTAATTAATTAATTCTCTAGGCATCAGGCGCAATGTCAACAATACCCGTTGCATTATGGCATTTAATTTGTCGGAATTTTGGTGCAAAATACAGCTGTGTGGCCGCGCAATTAATTGATAAAGTTTCCAGTGTGACCGTGAAATTATCAATAAATAATACTTTTAATACCATTTTTCATTGGAAAAATATTATTAAAAAAATAACTGTTTTTCATAATCAATAAATCTACCACGACTCTCGAATATCGCTGCAAACAAGTTATTCTACTAAATTATTAGTAGAATTAATTAAAAATTTAAATTCGTCAGAGCTGCCACACGACCGAAAAAACTAAAGACGGTGATGCCGTAAAGCAGTTTTTAAAATAGACGTAAACCGAGGTTGAGAACTAGGTTTTTGATGATCCAAGTTTCTTACCTTCATAATTTTAAATTAATTATTAACGATTAAAAAATTTAATTAGTTTAATTATTCTAGGAGAGGTGGTCTTTTTGTTTAATAAAGAAAAGTTTGACTTCAATAAATTTAATTAAGAGATATCACTCTGCGATTTAACTAGTTTGCAATAACTAACTTTAAGAAATCTACACAGTTTAATTTAATTTCCTTAGGCACTCAATTCCATTCACTATTGGAAAACTCGAGTCAACTTTTTTTTATTAATTAAGTTTTTTTTTGTCTATTCTGACTACTCTCTTCATTATCAATAGGGGTAAAGTCAACAATTTTGTAGTTTTTCACGGCTCCATGCTCTTAAATAAATAATAATAAATACAATGGTGATAAGAAATACCATTTGAAAACATGTCTCTTTGAAGAAATCCCATTATTTCCTACATGAATTGGATTTAATATTATTTAAGGCAAGCTTAAAATAGGTGAACGAAATTGACTCACCAAATGGTTAAGGTAAAAAATGAAAATTTAATTATAAAAAATGTATTATTAAGGGGTTTTCGGAGGTTTTGTGTAACGTGTATATACATATAAAATCATATATGTAAGGAAATCATCTCCATCTATTTTTGTAATTAAATACATATTTTTTTAACTAAAGCAGACGGTTAAACTACATTTGTTTTTACTTTTCTGCGGTCAGAAATCACCTTCCTACAAGGAAAAAGGTTACCACGGCAACAGAATTTGCAGGACCTATGTACAACATATGCTCCATCAATCTTTGGCTAATGGAATGCAATCTAATCAAATCAAATCAGAATCACATCATCAACGCCACTTACATCGCCCAAAGTCGAATCCCCCGACACTCTTTTACCCGAAAGCGTCGCACAAGCTGTTTAGCTGCATTTACAGGGCATTAGCACTTTTCCCGAGTTCCCGCTTCTCCCTAGCACGTTGGTAGCCAACCCCCTTTTGGCCAACTGATTACACGCGCAATTAAGGGTTGCGGCCAAGGCGGCTGGCAAACCAACCACCCTTGCCCCCACCCACACAACGGCCTTGCTTGCGGCTTGTTGCACGTGCTAAACGCCATCTAATATCACCCTTGGGGCCGTGCTTGAACGATCGCCGCTTAACACCGATTTTGATTAAATTTAACATAAACAAACAAGGCGGCGAAGAGGGTGAGGGACAGCGGGAGGGTAAGGGTTGACTTCAAATTCGTTTGAAATTAAAGCAGAACTTATAAATTGTGAATTTATTAAATTACATTTAGTAATCTGTCATAAAGTTCAAATAAAATGAAACTATTTCTAACATAAATTTAAAAAACTAAAATGTTTGCTTACTTTAATAGTTGATTGATTTAAAACAAATAATGAGTAAAGTTCCTTTATTCAATCTCAATGTAAAAGAGTTAAGAAAGTCGAATCCTTTTATCGAAAAACCACAAAAACAATTTAAGCTAAAAATAAAAGAAAATTCAACAAAATTGGGGAAAATAGTTAAACCAAAGTGCAAAGGGTTCGGACTTGCCATATATCCCACTGACATCCCGACTGATGCCCAGACCACATGACGGAGTTCCCACACAAGGAAGCAGAAGGGAAGGCCTTGAATATAAATTGACTTCGGGTGGATTCCGCTTGGCAGGATGTTAAATTATGCGTCGAAAGTCGCAAGTAAATAAATACAAATCGGGGGGTGGTGGCCCCGAAGCCGCCCTTTTTTCACACGGATTTATTACATTTGCATTTGATTTTTCCGATTATGTGACACTTTCTGGCGCGGAGTCAGGATGATGGGGGTGACTTGCAAGGGGATACGTTTAGGGGGGGTGAGAGGGGTCACTCTTTACTTTTGGTGCCCACTAATTCGAGAATGGCGTGTGATGGCGAACACTTGTTCGCCTGCCGTCTCATTTATTGATCATTAACGGTGGCTAATCCCCCCGCCCACTCCCTCTGGCCTCTGGTTAATCGTGATTAATTATTTTGACGCATTATTTTGATTCGATATTTATCAAAATGTCGCAAAATAGCGCTTAGCCTTTTATTATGTTTGCTTAACTGATTAATCTTCGACCCGAGTTCATATTAATGTAGTTGACTTGCCCACTTCCCACTACCCTGTTTTCTGCCCTTCACTTTGTTCACTGACTGGGGTGGGAAAATTAATTTTATGGTTAAGCTTTCTATGCAAATCAACCTGTTTTAGGCTTAACTAATGAAAAATAGCAACTTCCTTAGCATGTGAATGTAATAAAACATATAAATATTTGAAAGGAAACTTGAATTTATTTTTAGATTTTTATGTGGGCCCTTTTTTTGTTTTAAAATTTATAAAATAGTTTAAAGATTTAACATAGCAATAACTTTGAGCTTCTATATCAGATACAAATTAGATTAATCCATCTTAAATCGATATGGGACCATGGAAAGCTTGAGGGCCTCCATCTTTACCCCCAACATTTATTTCTATCCAAAACACAAGAACCTTAAAAGGTCAATTGCCGACATACCAGAAAACTAAATGTTGGAAATTGTTAAAGTGGACAGAAGACGGAATCAAAGGCAAGCCCAAACCAAGCCAAATCGATGCGAACCCACACGGAGTCTGATCGTTGGGGAACAAGTTTCCCATGGACAGAAATTAATAAAATTTGCAATTTACAATTTGGAAGCGACTTATATATCAGTGGGAAAACATGGTGCAATGTGCGCGGAGAAAACATGTTCAACAGTTAATAAAACAAATAATTGCATCGTGTGTGCAATAAAAAGAAGGTTAAACGTGGCCATAGAAAGTCCCACTGCAGACTAGACAGAGAGGGCTAAATAGCCGTAGAGAGAGAAGGGAGACAAGAGGGCAGCAAAGAACGAAGACGTACAGACGACAACTAATCATCAGACGCAGGAGCAGGAGCAGCCTGGACGTAGACGTAGACGTCGCGCCAATTGGAATTGCAAATCTTGCAGTAGTGGAAACGAGAGAGATAGATACACATGCGGAGAAAGAGGGAGGGATATACACATCGAGGAGCTTCGACAAGGATGTTGGGGAACAGGAGCGGTCTAGGAGCCATGTAAGATTTGGTTTAGAAAATTAAATTATATTATATTCTGGAAATATACCTATTAACTTTAGAAATTGTGAATACCAATGCAACATCAAATTAAAAATCCAAATAAATTCGCCCTTTTGTAGTTTAAGATCCCATTTAAAAACAGAATTCCTCAGAACGCTCCTGTGAGGAGCCACCATTCCATCTCGCACACACATTGGCCCCCGTCTAAGACAAAATGGACGATGACGATGAGGCGGCGTATTGGGAACTGGGGAGCTTGGGGAATGGCAAGGAGAAGGAGAAGACCACGTTGATGATGAGGAGGAGTAGGACACACAGGTTCATTCTCCCATAAATACGCTCAGCGGGTGTTAAATATTTTGTACGACTTCTGCAAGTCCTCGACTTCGAAGCTCGGCAAAAAGACTGTCCAGGACCCAGACGCTTCGCTGGGCTATCTCTTAAACAAACGTACAACTTTTGGCCCAAACGCCTTTGTTCATCAATTAAGCTGTCTGTCCAATGTCCTCCACCATCTCGCCCCGTCCCCCGATCCTCCCCAGCTTGGTCGTGCACATGAAAGAGAAGGAATTACTGAGAGAGAGAGAGAGATAGATGGGTGGCTGGGGCTCAGGGAGAACTGGAGACACATGCTATGGCTTGTAAATTGTGCGTCGGTCAGAAATTGAAATATGGCGTCGCAACGCAGGCAAATTGAAATCAATGAAAATGCTGTATCCTCGTGCAGGGCTTACTCCGGGCTTCCACAAGGAATACTTAGATATGGGGGAAAGGCAATCTAGGAAAAGCGAAATTTAACAGACTTTAACTTCTTTGGGGGCAAATGAAGTTGAAGTCATGTGTAAGAAGCTGTTTTAGATGATTTCTTGGAAATCAAATACACATTTTTTTGGTTTCTTTAATAATTATAATTGTAATAACCTATAGGTATTATTAAGCATACATATGTGTACTCTTATGTATGTATATATGTTAGCTTTTATGGTAGATTCGTTTACTTACCTCAATTTCCTTCTAAGCGCCTAAACTCATTTTTAATAATTACAACTTCTTGCCTCTTTATGGAATAATTCAATCTACGAGGCATTTACGATCAGGATATATCCGATTACCAACTTTCGGATTGCCACCGAACTGTTCTAGGCTTACGCCGTCTCAATTTGATGGAATCTCCCGCTCCTGGACGCCCAGCCGCTCTCCCACAGCCGTTTATAGATATATTTTAAATGCCGATAAAAGCGCATGTACGACAAGCAGCTAAACAAGAGACAGAACATGCCATCATTACCACCAACCGATCCCATCCGATCCGAACTGATCCGTGCCGAGCCATCTTGGGCTGTGTTGAGCTGAAGATCGGACGCCGCGCCATGTTTGATGATTAAATCTCGAAAATGTTAATGACGCCGCAAGCGGAGGCAGCCGTAAAAGAAGCCCCCGAAGAGCCTCCATTCCAGATGGAACCGAAACTCAGACATGGAAATTAGCTGACGATTGCCAGGAGGGCCAGGAGTGGGGATATCGATTGGTCGTTAAACGAACGCCAAGGATCGGGATCGTGATCGGGATCGGTTTTCATTTGACGCGCTCCGCTCTGGCGGCATCTTGGTATTGATTAACCAACTGAACCC